TTTGAGATTCAGTCCTATGTCCTCTATTTTCCACAGATTTTCTGCTTCCTCCTTACCTTCTCTTCACAAATGTCTGAACTAATAATGGCCAGGGACAGGCTACCTGCTCCCTTGACTGGAACCTCAATGCCTTTGAACACCCCCATGTTCCTCACCCTCCACAGGGTGTCCTTTCCACTGTTCACCACAGTCTGTCACGATCATAAACCACTTCTCTTAAGGACGCTCCAGCCTTTCCTCGTTATTTCTCCATCTCCTGCACCTGCCTCCGGTTCCTGCCCCGTCCAATAAAAACCAGACGTTCCTGCCATTCTGGGCTCAGCTTTGGAAGATGGACGCCTGGAAGCCCGCCTATCCTACAGTCCAGGAGCGACTCGACAGCATAGGCTTCACAACTGCGTCCTGACTTTCAGGGTCCAGGACTGGGAGCATCTGGTCCTGTTACCCGCCTTTTATTCCCCCCGACCCTTCGCCGGATCCTGCTCCGGCTTTTAACTCTGTTTGTCTTTGTCAGGATAGATCACCTGGCTTTAGACTTTTGCTCACTCTTGGATTTGCTAACGGACTCGTATTTGTTTGGACACGCCCCCTGTTTTTCTTCCAGGCCCTATCCTAGCCTTTTTCCACGTGTTTTCTCACTCCTCTCCGGATTGTGCTGTCTGCATAGGGTCCTGAAAGATGCTCCGTGACACAGCCCAAATCCTGTCAAATGTGTCGGAGGGTAATTTGACAGGAGAGAGGCAGAAGTCAGGTAAAAGTGAGGTGAAAGGGCTTGTAACCAGTCGTCAAACAAGGCCCAGAAAGCTTTAGTAAAATGGTAGGACCACAGGAGACGGGTCTCTCCTCTCCAGGAGGAGTCTCCTCCTCACCGCAGCCTGCTCTCACACAGCGAGGGCTGGGAGTGAGGTCCCTGTGGGTAATCACTGAAGGCTCGTATTGGTAATCACTGGTGGATGACACTCCAGGCTAAGTCTCTGTGAACGTTGAACAAAAACCTAGAGAATGTGTGTTTCCACACCTTTCTTGTTTGGGAAGATGTTAAAATGCCCACAGGGGTCTACTGATTGCTCTGAGGTGTGATGACATCTTCCAGTTTTTGGATGCTGACATCTTGGAGGGAGACATTACCAATTGGATGTGATCTTAAAAAGCTTTTAACTGTCCCATAAATTGTAGGGCATGTGTCAGAGAATGGGACTTCCAGCTTGGGTCTGATACCCCACACTCTGAACACCACACTACCCAAACAAAGCATGGTGAAACAAGTCCAGGTACACGGTTCAGGTGCTGTTGCAAGACCTCTCAGTACAGATTTTAGGAAGCAGATTCAGCTGTGCAAAAAAATGAAAAAACTAAAAGTTACTTTTCTTTCTTTTGGAACAAGGAAAAAAATCAAGTCTGTAAAATGAGGACATCTATGATCTTACCACTGTAAACCAATATCCAGGCTGTTAGAGACGTTTTATCTTGAATATGGTTAGCAAATAAGGGGCAATATTGTTACAGGCACTACAAGTACATACTGTAAGTAAGTTCCTGGTCATAAAGGAGTGTCAGACTCTGGCAAGCTAAAAGAATTGGATATTTTTATTCTTAAGCAAAGAAAACTAGCAGGGGACCTGATTTGAATATTCAAAATACTCAAGAGCACTGCCAGAGGATGCAAATGGAGAGTAAGAGGAAACCCGTATAGGAGACATTTCCTTACACAAATGGTTGTGGGAATTAGGAACAAGCCTCTCCATCATGTTGTCAAAGTCAAGACCCTGGCTTGTTTTAAGGCTTGAGGAGATCCTCAGATCAAATACAGGTATTTACCAGCACACCCAAAAGATATAGGGCTACCCCATTTCTCTTTCATATGTTTCCATACTGCACACACTCACACCAGGGCCCATTTATAATCATCATCATCATCATCATCATCTTTATTTATATAGCACCTTTAAAAGTAGCCTTGCAAAGCATTTTGCAGGAAAAGTAAAAGAATAAAGAAGTTAACAGGGATAGGAGATAACAAAATAAGTATGATAAACACAAGGAATTACAAAAACAGTAGGAGATGCAAGTAGCATGCCAATTAAATAAAAGCCTTCCTGAAAAAAATAGGTTTTGAGTCTGGATTGGAAAATGCTTTGGTAGGTGACCAAATATCCCCGAGAATAGAATTCCAGAGCTTTGGGGCATAATAAGGGAAAGCCCTCTCACCTATAGAATGTAAACAAACTTGGGGACAAACAGGAGAACACACCAGGAAAGTAGGAAGAGAGTAAGATAAATACTGAGCTAGGTGCCTTACAGAGTGGGGTGGTGGCTCTGTGGCTAAGGATCTGTGCCTGTACCTGTAACTAGAAGGTTGCTGGTTCAAATCCCGCAGCTGCCAGAGGAATCCTACTCTGTTTGGCCCCTGAGCAAGGCCCTTAACCCCAACTGCTCCAGGGGTGCTGTACAATGGCTGACACTGTGCTCTGACCCCATGCTTCTCTCCCTGTCTGTGTCTCATGGAGAGCAAGCTGGGGTATGTGAGAAGATGATTTCCTAATGCAAGAAATTGTATGGGGCTAATTAAGCAACATTATCATTATCACATTACACTATAGGTGATCATGAGGACTTGGAAGTTAACACAAAACCTGATAGGAAGACAGTGCAAGAACTCCAAGACAGGAGTGATGTGATCACTTGATTACAACCTGGTGAAGATTCTGGCTGCCAAATTATGGACATACTTTACAGATTTACAGATACCAGTAAGTAAGGCATTACAGTAATCAATTCTAGAAAAGATAAATCTGTTGATCAGCTTTTTTGCTGCAGTCAGAGACAACACAGGACACAGTCTGGCAATATTTCTGAGATGAAATATTTTTTATTTTTTAAATATGGGTCAAATGTCAAGCCTGGGGTAAATTCCACCCACAGATTCTTCAATTTAGATTGAAATTCAAGCACAGTGCCTGCCACAGGTAGGGTTACTATATTGGCTTTACATGGTTGATGGGTGGTGCCATGAAGCACGACTTCTGCCTCGTCACAGTTTAAATGAAGATAATTTTGAGTCATTCATATTTTATGTAAAAGATGCAAGCAGAAAATACAGAACTGGCTGCTTCAGTGACAGGGGTTTAGTACTGTATGGATGTAGATTTGAGTACCACCAGAAAGATAATTCAGACCATGTGATCTTAATAACTGACCAAGGCAACAGTGTATACTGAATCGTAGAGGTCTAGTATAAAAACCTGAGAAACACTAAGAAACCCAAATTCAGATCTGAAATCCCCAAGAGAGACAAAGTGTTGGCAATCTGTAAGACAAATAGCTGACCCATTCAAGAGCAATGTCAGAAACTCCAAACACAGTCTCCAAGACAAGAAAGTAATAAACAGTATGAAAAGCTACACTGAATTCAAGGAGAATGAGGATAGATAGAAAACCATCAGCCATACGTTTGACAGTTTCTGTGCTGTGTGATTGTCTGAAACCAGATTGGAAGGTTTTTTTTTGCAATGAGATGGTTGTTTAATTGACCTACAACAGTGATTGTAAAATGTTTGCAAGATAAGGAACAGTTGATTGGATATAGGATGAAGATTGTTTAGGATGTACAGAGCCATTTTTGTTTTTTTAGGTACAGAGGTAAATGCAGCCATTTTAAAGACCATTGGTACCACTCCAGTCCTCGAAGACTCATTCTTTACAGTATCTTGAAGACAAAAAGGCAGAGGGCAGGAAAACATGATTGAAATGAAACAGTAGAAATGGGATCTAATAAGCAGGAGGTGGATTTCATACGCAATACCAATTTATGAAGACAGGCAGCATCACGCTGAGAGAAACGAGAAAACGGAGAACCAGCAAAACTAGGCATGCATGGAGGAAGTGTAGTAGTAACATGTGAGGTGGAGAGAATGTGACACCGGATGTTGTCAATCTCGGAAGTAAAAAACTTTAAGAAAGTGTTTCTTGCTTTTAATTAATGTGTCTTTAGAGCATGGGAGGAATCCAGGGTACTCACAGGAACCTTTAATTTGGGTAACATAACTGAGACATTTGAGTTAAAATAAAATGTTTAAATACTTAATTATAGATTAAAAAAAAGACAAATGTTTGTATATCGTACATTTCTGCTCCAGAATTTTAGAATCTGTAGTCAACTGGATAACCAGATATGACATTATGATAACAATAATGTCTTGCATTTTATCAGCACCTGAAAAACTTTATATAAAGAATCTGTTGCACATAACGGTATTGCGCTTCTTTCTTATTCCCACTTGTACTCCAGAGTTGTTGTCTCCTACACAAACCAGTAGGTGGCGGTAGTGTCCCGGTCTAAACCAATGCGTTAAAATGTGCTGAGATACGGTTCTGTAAAACATGTCGTCATTCAATTCGTACTATCAATATACTGTATATTATGAGCTTTAAGTAAATCAAGAGGCGGCTTGACTGATATATTTACATTATTTTGAGTAATAAATCTGGGATTTTCTTTTACATCATGTTTAAAATGCAAAAACAAATTTCAAATTAATAACCCAATTAAGGGTCTAACTGTGTAACAGGGTTGTGCAACCGATAGTGTGATCATCGCTCCGATCATCACTCTACCTGAGCGCTTAAATGACTTAATTGAAGCACTTACTGGCTTTATTTACTTACAAGTGTATAGGAATTTATGCGTTTGCACAGAAGTTTATCAAAAACGGATTTTCCACTTTTCAAGTCTGCTTTTCCTTGTTGAAGTCATGTACAGTAGCCCAGGCGAGCCAGCATTAATTTCACTTACTGTATGTTTGGTACTGTATAGTGCACAAATCCAGTTCCAGTGTTAAGCATGTGTCGTTGCAAGGAATATTTGTATCTTTATGGTTCAGGTATATTGTAACCCTTGGGTGTTGTCTCGTTGGGACTTGAATTCATCCCCTTTTGAGATAATGTGGGAGGGATTTTAGGTTGTAAAACTGTGCTCTCGAAGGGAACTGTCATTACTTTACAAACGAGATAAAACGATGTTAGTTTCTTTAAAGAAATAGTTACGGAAAACTACGTGACATTTGACAAATTCAAACTCCTTAATGTCATTTAATTTAAGAAACAGAAGAAGAAAACGCCATCACAAAATAACAATTTACATTTAATTCTGTACTGCGTTTCTTATTTTATACGGTATCTCACAAGGAGGAGCTACTGTACTTGTCACCCAGACTGATGTCGGTAACTCTATAATAGATTTTATTGGAGAGACAGAAGTAAACGAAATGAGACTTCCCCCAGAACAACACTGTGTGCAAGGTGAGTTGTACATTAATTTTAATATATTTAAACGTGCACCCATAATAGCAAGAAAATCGATTTTCTAATTTTAATAAAGATCGAGTTGTGACAATGTTGAGTGACTTTGTGGTCTAGGTGAGTTTAATTGACAGATTTCAAACATTTGCCTAGTAAATAGTAATGTATTTGCTGAGATGATAAATTTCCTGTCCCTTTTTCCATTCACCTAGTTACAGAACAGGCATCGCTTTGCAAGCGCACGGAGACACCTTGGTGGCCATATACTGTAAGACCTGATATTTTATATCGTTTTTATGTAAATAACAAACTCAGCCTCTTAGGTTTTCCTAACAATTTGTTAGTGAAATCGGCATCCAAACAACTTCGATCTCATGAGTTCAAGGCTTTGTGGGTTATTGATACATGGTAGTTCTATACTGGACAGGTATAGTTAATCGGAAAAAAAACGATGTATATTTGTTATATTTGGTAATTCTGTTGCGTTTTCCACTCGAAGCGGCCAGACTGCCAGAACCGGTTCTCCTTGCTTTTGGAAAATAGTTCTGTGAGGGATGCAGATAGGAATGAGGAAATGTTACATTTGTGTACAGAATGGCTTTTTAGTATAAAGTTACTGCCACGATTGTATATGTACTGTATATAACCAAATTATTTGAAGATTTAAAATTTAAAGGCATTGTCTTCTCTAACTTCAGAGCATTTTTTTCTGCAAACCCACATTAGCCTTTGTCTTCCGTTCTTTTTTGCAAAATAAAATAACGTGGTTATTTTTTATTTATTTTTTTCTTCATGCATAGATTACTTTACCTGATAACTAATACAATAAAACAAACAGTATTGCCTCATCATGTGATAATGTGGCAGTATGTAATGGTACATGCAGGAACTCTGCTCCTCTCCGTGACAGTGGAAAGGAGCATCTCCTAGTTTTAAAGGTGGTTTACTGTATTTTAAGGGTGGCATAGTGGCTCAGGGCTCAGCATTACTGCCTCACAGATAAGATCACTTTATTGGCCATATACAATTTATTACATAAGGAATTTGTTTTTTCACATACCCCAACTTGGTCTTTGTGAGACACACAGACAGGGAGAGAAGTTTGGGGTCAGAGCACAGGGTCAGCCATTGATATGGCACCCCTGGAGCCATTGGGGTTAAGGGCCTTGCTCAGGGGCCCAACAGAGCAGGATTCCTCTGCCAGCCACAGGATACGAACCAGCAACCTTCCAGCCACAGGTGCAGATCCTTAGCCACAGAGCCACTGCACTGCCCTGGAGCTCCTGCTACAATTCTGGACCTGGGGTACTATCTGTGTGGAGTTCTTATGTTCTTTTTTGTTTTCCTGGGTTTCCTCCAGGAGCTCTGTTTTCCTCCCACAGTCCATAATCACAGTGGTAAGTTAGTTGGCTTCTGAGAAAATTGGCCTTGGTGTGAATGTGTGTATGTACTTGTGTCTGCCCTGTGATGCTGCCTGGTGCCCGTTGCTTGCCGGATAGGCTCTGGTTACTCTGTGACCCTGAATTGGAAAAAGCAATTAAAAAAGATGGATGGTTTATCTCAAGGTTCTTTACATGAACATCTTGGTGGGCACTAAAACACAAACAGAGCAAATGTCACTTCCTCAAATTACTTAAAGTTTCTGTTCAGAAGTAATGCTCATCACAAGAAGCTAAGTGGAAACTGATTGCAATAAGGCATTGAAAAAAGGGGATGTAGATGATACAAGTCATGCCTCTGTAAAAGGATCTTTTTCAAAATGTTTTTTCATATGTGATAAAAGTGTTTTTTAAGAAACATCAGTGGCTTTTCAGTGGCATTTTGTGAAACCCTTTATAGTTCCTGTTCTTGTATGTGCCTCTTATTTTAACGTTTGGTTGCAAAGTAGCAGGCTTTTAGGGATTTTAGTTAGTTTTCCCACCCAATGAAATATCTTGTGCCAAACAATTAGAATGTGTGGTGTGTCTCTTTATGTGGTGTTTCCTGGTGCTAACCTTGGGAAACCACATCAAAGAGGTGTAACTAGTTTGTAATTTAATTGTGATCAAGGGGTGTAGTATGTGTAACTTTGCATTGTTTTTAAGATTAAAAATCTCCTGTAATTCTGAAGGCATTCAAATTATGTCTGTCATCCATTGCTTATGAAACAAATGAGAATGCATGCATCATGTTTCCAGTATTTATGTACTGTACTTGTAATAGTCCTACAGTGAGGAAAAAGGTTGACCTAGATATGATAGCTTTCTACTGTCTACTGTTGTTTGTATAGGCTTGACATACTGTACATACTATAACACTTTAACATGACTTATAGTAAATGTTGTACAGGGGTATCCATAGAAAAGTTGTTTGTCACACTGTATGTAGTTAGGAGGCCCACACATACTGTACAATTTATTGCAATGTAGTATAAAGAGTAAATAGTAAGATCACATTCAGTAATTTGAAGTTCAATAGTGCAGGAGCACAGACTATTTTGTCTTGCAAATATAGTCTTAAAGGTAATTTGGTTTAATTTGCACTTTTATATTCGTATGTAACTTCAGAAGGGTAGTAAAATTGGAATTTCACAAGAACATTGTCATTGATTTATCATTGAACTTTAGATTATTTTCAATAGTATTTAGCTACAGTGTATCTGAAATTACTGGCACTGTATTTGACTCTGTCAGCTGACCTGACGTTTTTCTCAGTTTAAATGCAAGCTTTACGAAGGAGAGGGAGTAAGAACAATTTTACTCCTAAAGTAAAATGCTAACCTTCTGTACTTGAAGCTTGCACATGTAATAAAACAGTATCTGGGTTAAGTGTAAAGACAATCAATCAATATGCCATGCTTGGTGGCAGATTGACACAATACAACACAAAATCCATGTGCAATTTATTTATACTAAGCATTGAAATTAACCTGCATCTAGGTGTGTATGTTTTCAGTAAAAATGCAGATTTTCAAAAGTGATTCGATGTTTTTGGTGTAATTATGATTAATTGTTCATTTATGAACGAATATTATACATTCGGGTCATTTTGTCTTAACTCTCATTAGTAAGAGAGCTGATTGAATATCAAGACTGCTGAAAACCCAGAAAGAAATGTTATTGCCCCCACTTGTCAAGAGAACAATACCTTAGTGTCATCTGTATATTGGAGACTGGATTACAAGTTCGGAAATTGATACTCTCCATTTTGTAAGTGTTCACAACCAACAATATATATCCTAGCAAAACATTACAGCCCATCAATAACGGGCCACAATCTGGGAGACCATGAGTCACAGCACCTTGCTAAGTTACACTCCACACATCAACTGTTCAACTCTGAGGTGGCTGCTAAATAGTGATCATTTACATGAAGATATTAGGTCATATAGATTATTTGTACTGAAAGGACGTACTGTATAACTTTATAAATGGAGAACAGGACTATATGAACACTTGTATTGCTAATTGAACAGTAATAGAACAGAGTATGGTTTGAACAGGAAGGAAATGTGTGCTTGTGTTTTATTAGAATAATGGCACAAAAGTGATTGCAGAGAAATTGAAATGAGTAAAGACTATTTATTCCATTGTCAGAAGGCTGCTGTTTTCAGATGAGGATCTTGGGTTTCAGTCACATAGAACAGCTTCAGAAGCACAGGGCTCAAGGTAGGACTATTCCTTGAATGGAATTCCAGTCCATCAGTGGGCACACACACGGGGATATATATGTACAGTATATAGTATATATAAAACTTGTGTACAGTATACAGTGCTTTCTTGGACATTCCACTCAATGCGCTTTAGAGGTAATAGGGACTCCCACCACCACCAATGTGTAACATCCACCTGGATAATGGGTGAACCTGGAACATTAGAGACACAAGTAAATCTGGTCAAGATGTGTCCAGAAAATGGAAGGAAACTAGAGAGCCTGGAGAAATTCCACATAAACATGGGAGAACATGTAAAATCTACAGAGAAAGAGAAAACGTTCCTTTCCAGAAGTGAACCCCAGCTGTGAAGCAGTAGAGCAAACCGTCATTCCACCATGCTGCAGATTGTTTTGTAGTTTTTTTCAATCTGAAAAACTGTTTTTATGATGGCTGTTTTTTTTTAATAAAGCATATTTTTCTTTCTCAAAACGTAGCCAGTCTATGCCTCTTAACTTGATCATTCTACAGAAACTATCAATTTATGAGGGTGGGCAGTGGTAAAATGGTTAGTATCGCTGCCTCACAGCACTGGGGTCATGGGTTCAGTTCCTGGGAAGCTATCTGCATGGAATTTTTATGTTCTCCATGTATTCACATGGGTTTTCTCTGGGAGCTCTGGTTTCCTTTCACCATTCAAAGACATACTGACGTGCTCATGGGCTTCTGGGAAAATTGGTCCTGGTGTGAGTGTGTGTCTGTGTCTGTGTGCCCTGTGATGGACAGGCATCAGAACCAGGGTATATCCTGCCTTACGCCGATGCTTGCAAGGGCCAGCTCTAGGCCTCCTACAGTCCTGCATTTGTCAAAGCCATTCGAAAATAGATGGATGGGTAATTATTTTATGTTGCAATTGCTGAACTACAATATTTCTGAATACATTTCTTATATAATTAAATAGTGAACCAATACCTTGCTTCAGAATGTAACGAGGAAGGGTTACATATTTCTGTTTTACAGCATGAAATGTCAACTATTTAAGCAAAAAGGCAAGTCTTATTTTTTTGTTTTTGTCTTTGGTATTGTTTCCCCAGGGGCTGTATTACCTGTAACTTGCCCAGCCTCATCGCTCCAGGCCTTCTGTAAGATCACCAAGATCTTGGACATGAAGGCGTCTTTCGCCAAATCTGCGAATGAATCGAATGGGACCTTCCTAGAGCAGAGTTTTTTTAGTGGAACATACCACATGTACATAGGACTGGGCTTAGCAGTAGCCTCCAGTATTCTCACAGGGAGCAGCTTCATACTGAAGAAGAAAGGGCTGCTGCAGTTGGCTAGGAAAGGAATGCTACGAGCAGGTAAGATTATTTAGGGGGGTTGTCAAGTTTTAGAATGCCTGTGCAGTTCTGCAATGTTCTAGAAATGTTTTGATTCTTATAGGATGGACTTGTTAAAGGTGAGTACTAGAAGTAGCTTCTGGTATATGCATATTGCTCTTTCACACCTACAGTAGGTATACAGCAGTTCTGCCACATGGCTTGACCAAGCACAGAACCACAGTCTAGAAGTCTTGAAACATATTTACGTAAAGTGGTGTGGGAATCTGAAACAAATTACTCATTTATTTTGTTGAAGCAAATCTTATGACCAATACGTCTTAATTAGCTAACTAGACTACTTATTTCCTTCATGTGACTTTATGCAAATCTCAAACCAAGAGCTATTAATCTCTCTGGACTGTGGCCCTTGTGGCCCTGGTGCTGGTTACCACCTAGATTAAAACATACAGTAGCACAGTCAGACCTTTACATGTGATACATTGGAACCCTTTCATTTCCTGGCAGCACTGAACGTTAAACTGAAAGTTTAAAAGGTTGATTGTTGTCTTGCTTACAGCTTTAACTATTTGTTAGTTAGATTAGATTTATCCCAACACCGTTTTAATTCATATGGTAGTGGAGCTTTGCCTGAGCTACTGTATGATCCTTTAGACCAGCCAACTTTGAATACAGCTGATAAACGGCCAATAATTAGTTAAATGATGGTGTTAAAAGCCGAACTAGAAAGTAGACCTCACTGTAGACCACAGGAGCCCCCAAGCCTGGGATTGGACATTCTACAGGTACTTTTAAATGAATTTACTTTAGATTTAGTCTTTACTGAATATGTCATTTAATAAATTTGTTCTGATAGAAAGAGTTTCCAGTATACAGTACTGAAATACAGAATTCTATTTGAAACTACAGGTCGCTTGCTTTTATGTCTTATCAGGCATAATACTATATATTTATCCAGTGCTTTCATTTCTTTTTATCTTGCTGTCTAAATATTATCATCATGGTTTTGTTGGTTGAATTAATAATTGATTTTAAGCATATGAAAACAGAATAACGGGGAAAACACTTGAGTTCTACATTCTGCTGTCAGAATGGGTTTGTGGTCCAGTGTGTCTGGGAGGCATTCTGTGAATTTTCTTGTGTTATGTAGATTTTATGGCCTGCCGTCCAGATCAGTGTTGCTTGTTTGTTTTGCAGGGCAGGGTAGCCATGCATACCTCAAGGAATGGATATGGTGGGCTGGGCTCATTTCAAGTAAGTCTCGGAAGTATTCTGTCATTGTAGATATCTCCCCAAGTTCATTCCTTATTTACTTACTGTACACACAGCTTAATACAGTACTTCCTTTGCACCAATAGGGTATACTTTAAGAACAGGGGCTTTCAGATTAAATCAAATCTTCCATCCCAAATCACCAGCCCTATACTCGATGGCATCTGTTCATTTTATTTATTTGTTCCGCTACTGATGGATATATGCTAGCTAATACTTGACTCATAGCTTGCAATTGACAGGAGAGTTATACCCCTGACCTTTCTCAGTTTTGTTGTAATATATCTGTTGGCATGCTGAAATCTTTAATGAGCTAATTTCATAATAGATAAGTCTTCTGCGCTCAGGCCTAGTTTTCATAGCTGCCCTGTTTTAGAGATGCCAAAAAATATTATCTAAAATTACTAAATAAAAATTCAAAATATTATAAATGTATGAAATCGGAGATCCATATTGCAGGTGCCACATGGAGGGGAATTTAAAGTAAAGGGCAGCAGCCAGTGGATTGTGGGATACCAATCGAAGATGTGCAGTTCACTGGAAATTCTACTGTGTTGCTCTCTCTGTAGCATACTTCCTCAAACTTAAATTCAATCAAAACTTAGACCAAGCCAACCGAATTATTAATTATAGAGCCAGATGACACACAGGGGTGCTATGCACCAGGAAGGAAGGAGGCTTTTCTTAATGTTCTTTTTGTCTGTTTATAGAATGAATGCCGATTCAAATCCATCCCCTCTCCCCCTGCAGATTTTTTTTCTTATGTCTACAGCTCGTGCTTTTACTTGCAGAACACGCTGTGGAACTGCAAAAAAAATAAAATAATTCTTAATGATTCAATACTATTTTTGTTCAGTGGGAGCTGGGGAAGCAGCGAACTTCGCAGCCTATACATTTGCTCCAGCCACACTGGTCACTCCTTTAGGAGCCCTGAGTGTTCTTATAAGGTACGTATGTAATGTTTTTACATTATTCAATGCATAGAAAAATTCGGAATTGGAATATACTAGCATAACTAAAGTATACTAGCATAACTAAAGTATGTCTGGGGAAAAAATCAAAACATCACTGCAGATAAATTATATATAATTATATAATAAAACAATTATTACCTTGGTTATGATTTAACTAATCCATTTGTAATTATTATAATAAGGAGTCATATAAACAGGAAGTTGGTTATCCTTTACCAAACATTATATATTTTTCTATTTTCCAATTCAGAGTATTTTAACAAAAAACAGTTACATATTTACATATGGTTGCTAAACAGTCCTATAAATGCTCCACATATCAATGTGAAAAGGATGCTAATTCACTGCACAGCTCCACTGACCTACTGTGTTACCTGTCATAGTGCACTACTGTCTTCATACTTCTTGGGTGAGCGGCTGAACATTCATGGAAAACTGGGCTGTATGCTGAGTGTTCTGGGGTCCACCATGATGGTTATCCACTCTCCCCAGGATGAAGAGGTGAAATCTCTACAGGAAATGGGAGAGAAATTGCAAAGCCCAGGTCATCCTTTTTTTTCTTACTGTTGACAATGTTCTAACTGTGATGCTAATTTGACTGACCCCACTGTGGATAAACTCTTCCTTTGGAGACCACTTTCAATGAGAATGTGAAATTCAAATTTATTTTGCTGAATGTGTCAAGAATTCTAGGTGCATGCACTGCAATGAAATTGCGAGTGATGGTGGAACTGATAAATTGACAGATTATGTCAGAGAGCTGACCCACAGACTGAATAAAATATCTATTATTGATATATTTGATTTGGATAGAATCACTGATAAATCTTGCTGATATAGCTGCCAAAACAAAGAAGCGATGTCAGTTTATATACTGTACAATTGCCATGTTAGTTTGTTTTGATGCAGGTTACCTACAGTATTTAAGTTCAAAGTATTTTGTTATTTATAATTTCAAATTTTATTCTGCAATCCCTATAGTGGGCAAAAGTATTGCTCGCAAAAGTATTCACACCCTTACAACGATGTTTAATTTTGTGAAATTATAAAATAATACATACTTAAGACATTCATATTTTATTCCAAACCATTTAATTGTGCCCCTTCATGAAAAAGTAAACCTCTGGTTTAACACACTTTGGATTTAATGCACAAAATTGGCCGAGTTTTGTGTTTGTCAGAAATGCTGGACATACAGTATAACAGGTATCTGCACAAATAATAAAATAAGGTAAAAATAAATATTGCATACAGCAGTTTTAAAATGCAGAGATGGCAATAATGCCCTTTAAAGAAATGTTAGATGCAAACAGTGGTTTCATTTGCTGTAGCAAATTTTATACAGTATATGTGCAACACGTTCATACAGCATATATATATATAATACAGTATATATACAATATTAATCTTATATTAGTTAGTAAGGGTTACAAAGGTAATTTGATTTAATGCATATATAATGTTATTTTCTAAAATAACAGACACCCTTCCCCACCTATTAGTCCATTAAACTGATGGTTTACTGTACAATGGGACACACTGGGTTTCATTGTACCACTGTTTTTCAGATTTTCATATACTCAGTCCAGCTCTCTTATACCATTTTCTCAATTCCAGGATTCTTAGCGTTTGCGGCCACCTTAGTAGTGATCTCCCTTGTTCTGATCTTTGCCATCGCTCCAAAGTGGGGGCAAAGCAACATCTTGGTGTACATCTCCATCTGCTCCTTGATCGGCGCCTTCTCTGTATCATCTGTGAAAGGGCTTGGCCTTGTTATCAAAGACCTTATTGACAAAAAGCCAGTTTACAAAGAGCCGCTTGCCTACATCCTGTTGGGAATGTTGGTGGTTTCCATCACCATCCAGATCAACTACCTCAACAAAGCTCTGGACACCTTCAACACTTCCATCGTGACTCCTGTGTACTATGTGTTCTTCACCACAGCCGTGATCACCTGTTCGGTGATCCTCTTCAAGGAGTGGAATAGCATGAGCGTGGCTGACATTTTCGCCAGCCTCAGTGGGTTTGGCACCATAATCATTGGCATCTTTCTCTTGCATGCCTTCAAGGAGTTGGACTACAGCTGGGAGGATCTCTCAGTGCTGACAAGGGTAGGAAGTTCTCCTGCTGTGAGGAGTATACCTGAGGACCAGCAGTCCTTCCTGGGAAGTGTGGAGAGCCAGTCACAGTCTTGTCAGGGTGAAGATCTGCATTTCAGCAAACATAGCTGATAAATGACAATCGAGAGAACAAAATGCGAGGGCAGGTTGAGGGCAGATAATATACAATACAGGATGAACCAATAAAGGCTTTGTTTGTTTTTTGTTAGTTGTCACATTGATGAGTGGTGAATTTTCTCATTTGTTATTATCAGGGGAATATTGAACTGTGTATTATGTTACTGGTCATTCTTAGTTTAGAGTTGTTACAAGCCTTTTATAAAAAATTACTGAGGTGGCACATATACTGTATTTCACTGCAACAATGAAACAGTTTTCAGGTTGTGACTGACAGCATTTTTGTCAGGAGCAGAAGCGTAACATTTTACCTTGTTCACAGTAAGCCTGTTTACCTGCAAACTCTCAAATCTTCCCCTGTCTCCTAACTCAAGGTTTAAATCATGGGTCATTCCTGGTTTTGTGTTTGCACTGTAGATTTATTTCTTGCGATCAAAGATCATTAATCCTTAACTAACCTTGTGTACTGCAAGTAAGGTGAAATGACAATTAGTTTTTAAGAAAGAAATACCAAAACAATTTAATATTTCTAGCAAACTTGTTCTAAGTAGCCTGTGTTGTATTGGTAATATAATTATACACTTTGAAGGTGCCATTACATAAGAGTAAAAAAAGGCCTACATTGAGGAGTAATGGGAAGGTGTAAAAATGAACAAATTCACATTGGTCTTTTCCAGTTTCTGTCTTATTCAAGTCAGAATATCTGCATATTTAGCAGAATGCAGTAAGTAGTAGAAGATCCAAAAAACATCACTCAAGATGGAAGACCATAAGCAGGTCTAGATTTGATTTTTGCATCAAATTAGCTGTGTTACAGTTGGCAATATCCCAGTACAGTGTGTTGAAATAGTTCAAGTTCAAGTGCATCAGCATGCGTAGGCTGGAAAGAAACAAGTAAAATTTTATTCCATGCTGAAAAGAGAAGAAAAGAAACACAATGTTTCAGCTGTTGAGACTTCTTTGGATGTGGATTAAAGAATCTCAATTGAAAGTTCTACTCATGACTAAGCACTTTGTAATTTGTAAGAATACTGTACACACATTGTAATGCCACTTCATTTAAATAAATTATTTCACTGAAGGCAAAAAGATAAATGTTAAAATAATACTGTTACAGTATTAAAAGGAAGACATGTGAGCATACAGGGTAAGTGTGCATTTATGTGCAACCTGTAGCCTTTGAGTTTAAACCAGTAAGTAAGTACTGTTACCTCAACAGTTCTAAGATCTCAGCTTCACTGTCATGTTAAGGGAAGAGAACAACAAGAAATGAACCAATATGTTTTTCTTTTCTAGTAAACTGATCACCCAAAATTAGACCAATGTTCCAACAATATGCTTGAGAACAGAGTGAAGATGTTCGTAGTTTACAATATCACAAATACTGTTTTTAAAATAATGGTGGTTAACAGTGAAAGGTGTGTGACAGAATGCCAAGAAAATGAGGAATTGTGAGTGTTCACATGGGAGCTGTTTTAATAGAATGAGATTGAAGAAATATACGAATATTTTTACCTGTTATTATCTTTTTATGATGACTTATACAGAATATTTTTATATTAAGAATTTAGTGCATATTGATTGTCCTTTTCCTTAGTTGTACTACAGCTACAGTAGATTGTTAAGATGGTTAATCTTAAATTGCATATTTCTTTAAATAAATTTTACCTATAAGTGCGGCTGCAATTTTCTGTTTATTATCCATACTCCCCTCTCAACCCAAGTCACAGGTTTAGGATGTTGGTTCCATTTTGATGCTTCGTTTCTGAAGAGATGCCTTAAAGCATACTGTATGTCATGGCATAAACTTATGCTGTCAGAACAGTTCTGATGGTACAGAATACTTTACACGTTTAGTTGTATTTTTGATCGTTCTAAAGTTGTCTAGCAGTTCTCATCATTTTAACCGCGGTTTTCTGAGCGTTAGTTTGCATTCTCACCACTAGATGTCATATTACTCATGATTATATTTTACTTTGCATGTACAGTACTTTCCAGTGTCAGTTGCTAGTTAAATTACATTAAAAAAGTGTGAAAAAAAATTACTTTTCATATCAAAATGTTATGAGTCTTTCGTTATTTTTATTTACTGTTAACGAAGAAAAAATCACCCTATTTGGCCACAGGACTCTGATCTGTAGTTTCAGGATTTGAACCCAGGCCGTCATCTTCTGCAGACTAGTGTGGGGGTTTGAAGCCAGACTCTCACAAACTATGTACCAGCGCTCTACATGAGAAGCCTCTCTATGGTGAGGCTATCAGTTATTTTTTATTTTAATGACTGTCTTACACAGGTGGCATGGTGGTGCTGTGGTTAACAGTGGTGCTACGGAAAGCTGGGGTTCTGAGTGGAATTCCTGGGGTGCCAACTGCATGGCAAACTCCCTGCATTTATGTGAGTTTCCTTGGGATGCTCTAGTTTGCTTCCACAATCCAAAGACATTTTTTGTAGGTTTGTTGGCTTCCTGGGAAAGTGGCCCTGCTGTGAGTGTGTTTGGGTGCCTGATTCCCATCAAGAGTGTATCCTGCTTTGTATTGAATTGAATTGAATTGAATCTGTTTCTTTGTCGGAATAGTCTCCAGTTCCCTTGCAAATCTGTATTGGATGAAGCGATTAGAAGACCGAAGGATCAACTGTCTTACATCTCTCACATGTACTGTACCTGAACGCGTGTTAACAATCTTGCATTTCAGAGATTTTCAGCATATTACATAATGTGCTTTCTATTGGAGCAAAGTAATAGGTGAAAGTTAATTTCATATGGAAAAAAGAGAAAAAACAACATTTTTGAATGCTAAGCCTTTTTCAGGTGTGAGAAGACAAAATATTTGGCCATTGAAAAGTTTTGTCAAAACTAAAGTGCAAGTTCTTGTAACGTGTTTATTTTTTATTTAGAATACATTGGTTGTTTGTGAAGATTTAATCCTGGTTTCTAAGGATTACAAGAGCATAGCTCCGCCTTAAATACGTGAAATATTCAAATATTCAAATATCTCAGCACTGCAAAATCATGGTAAAAAAGCAATTTCCATTCATTTCATACACATGGTCTTGTGTGATTTCATTGTCATTTCATTTATAGAAAAAAATATTGATGTACTTATAATTTCAGAATTGGTAAAAAGCCAAAAAACCTGAAATATTTACCTGTTGACACCTGCATCTTAAAATAAAACTTAGAAAGAGGAATCTTGTGTAGCTGGATCTGTCAGTAATTGAACTTGGTCCTTCACGTCTTCAGTCATGTTGACATACTGTAGAAAATGAGAGGGTAATTAGTCATGTGGTAATAAAAGCTGTGAGAGAATCATGCACGAAATATTTTATTGAGAAAAGTTTGCTGAAAAGGCCTCACAACAGACTAAAGTGTTAATCTTTGCTGCCATAGCTCTGAAAACATGACAGAGAGTAATGGTTGTCAAGGTAGTGCGGTGGGCGGCTGTGCTTTTGAAAAGCTATAGTGAGTCATTTAGTAGCCGAAAGAAAATAAGTTAACTGAAGAACCTTGTTAATTTTGTTTTCTTGCACACAAAGATAAGAGAGGTATTACATTGAAGTTACAGGGACAGAAAATTATTCTCCTATATTTGGCTAGAGCATTATTTTAATAAAATCATAACAGTAACCCAACACCACTTTGAAAAGAAAATCACTATAAATTGTTTTTTTAAAACAAACTATTCTCTTTAAGGACAGAGGACAGAGGGTGTTGGTTTCTGAACAGAGTAACTGGATTCAAGTTAATTAGGAAATGATTAATAATTTTAAGAGCTTCATCTTTTGAAAAAAAATGGTTTGTCTTATTTTTTCTTTTGTTGTCAAAAAGGTATTTCCAAGAAGGTCATACTTCATCTCAGGATAGAAACAACACATAAAAGAATCCCTCAAATAATTCATTACCGATGTGGATGGATTTAATTATTTAATTATTTAATTAAAAAGGTTTTCTGAACCCATTAATTGCAGCACTGTCAAAACGTGTAAAAACTGGTGAATAGCCAGAGCAGTTTCACTCTTGTTTTGATTTTGTGTAAATATGCATGGGGCCATCATGTGTGTGAGAGTGGGGTGAGGATGTGACTCATAGTATTAAAACTAACGTTAAAATAGTTAGAGAGCTATGCGCAATCTACCAACACTGAAGGACACACTGAATCACTTACTTGTGATAAGAAAAAACAATATTCACCCGAACCACACTTAATTGATAAATAACTATATAAAAGCATAAAAGGCATTGTTTATTAGAAGGGGCTACAGACATCGACAGCATGCAACACTTTGCTATATGGAAGCAAGGAGGTCTTTTCCCCTGTCCTTTCCTGTTTTTTCTCAGTGTTTTATACTTTTAGATGCTCGCTGAAGAGCTTTTAATGTGTTAAGAGCTTTAATGTAAATCAGAAGATAAAAAAATGTTTGGATTGATCTCTAAGACTGCTTTCACTAAATGCAAGTATCTGAAACAGAAATCTGAATTGCTGTGGAGCTGACACACCTAGTTTGGGATATCAGAGAGTGAAATGAGTTTGAGCTGAGAATAAATGTAATTTACACATCTCTTTATGTCTCTTTTACTCTTTTTTATAGGAAGTTGTGGATGTTTTGGTGCTCTGGGGTTGTGTTGAGCAAGGGGTTACTGTTAAAACCATTAGGCCATATACTGTATATCTAAAGAAAGTGATGAATATTCAAGCACCTGAGTGCTTTAGAGTCCATTTGCTTTGCTAGATAGTGATGGCGCTGATGTGCATTTAACCAAAGATCAGTGCAAGATCTGACTGGCTGGACTGTCAACAATAGTAAGAAGAGCCCTCATCAATTATCCTGGTGACAATGGCCTGTTTAACATCGAAGACTTTATTCTGTTGAAACTTTCTATTCTATCACATGTCCATTTTATACGCTGTGTGAAACATGAACAAGATCTTGTTAACTTTCTTTGTCTATTCTTCCAAGCATCCTGTCCACAGTCTCTTGAGTTGATTGTTTTCCACAGTGTTTAACATTGTCATTCAGTACATTAATACACATAACAATGTGCTAAACTTTCAGTGGCAAGAATCACTTACTGAAGGATTCTCGTTGTGTTTGTTATTTAATTGTTTTAAAATAACTGTTATTTTATGTGTCTTAGTTTAGTGAGAGCTTGCAGTTGAATAGGAGTATATATCCAATGTAACTTCTAAATCATCTTATTCAGAAAATGATGTGAAAAAGAATAATACTCTTTATAAAGCAGGAATGTTAATAATGGGTCAAAAACCTTTTCTGGTCAGTTATTTTAATATGGTGATGATGTTTTTCACTGTGAAAGAGAAGCTCAAAGATAATTAACTTTGTGGTTTGAAAGAATGTACAGTACTTACTGTACAAAAGCGCATCTAATTAGAGTTGAGCAAAGATTTATTTAAGGTAATTCACATAATATATTATAATATGGTGGTGCAGTGGTTAGCATTCTCAGTTTGAACTTTACTGTTCCATTCTTGTAGAGGGCACTGTATTTTTGCAGTCACCTAAAGTATGATTAGTGCATCTACTTTGCTGTTTATGAATGATAAATTTGTTTAAAAATAATTTATCAAAACTGGCACTTGGATGCTTTTGGACATTACTAATTTATCAAAAATATGTGATGCTATTGCATAAAGAGACCTAGGAAAACAGGAAATATTTTCAAAGCTTCATTTTATCATTTGTTGCTTAATATAAGTTTCTTTCACAATATAACACCTGTTTTTTATTGAGATATATTTTTATTGTGGTATTGTCCCATTTCTGTGTTTTTGCTGGGCCCAGAGAGAGGTCTGGTCCAGCTTCAGTATGAAATCACTTGTCTAACACATAGGCAAGTAATGGAGTAAAGAGAGTTGTATGAAACAACTGAGTTTTTAGAGGGTTTTTCCTCAGAGAACTAAAGCAGTACTGACAGAGGTAATTAACACCTACTCTAGCACTCTGGAGTTGTAAGAGTGTGCATTGATTTATCAGCAGTTTTCAGGTAGGAATGATTAAAAACATTGTAGCAAAGAAGAAAGTATTTTCTAAATGTTCTCATGTTTTCAGGTGTGATTTGAGTCCCATCTTTTAAAAACCAATTCTTAACTAAAATGTTGCTTTTTCAATTTAGGGGAGTACTAAAACAACAGAGACAGTACATTTAATTTTTCGATCATTCTTTCCAAACAGCCACACACAAAATAGTGCAATCCCAGAAGATATTGTGCACAATATGATAGAAATCCTGCTATTGTATGTGTTAAAAATGTTTCCTTTAATACCTGAACAATTTTATGACAGATGAGTTTCAAAAAAAGATGCCAAAATGTGATGTAAAAAAAACATTAAAAATACAAAACTGTGGTGTTTCAGTAGTGTGAAAAACACAATACTGAACTGTGTGTACCTTTGATCTGCAATTGCTAAAGATCTCAGATAATAAAAAGAAAATAGAAGAAAATTAATTAGTTGTATGAAAAAATTAAAAATTGGAAAGAATGCCATAAGAGACAGGATCAGAGAAGTTACAATGTGTTGGAAAATGTTTGGTCTTTGCCTGACTAAATGTTTCAGGTAGTGTTATCACAAATAGTGTGTGCTTATTATTGTTTATCAGCATGTTTTATTTGTGCTTTTTTACTAACACAATTACAGCTGCATTTGTCCCTGGAATGTGATTGGTTACAAGCTAGCAGGAGCCAAGAAACTAATGACTCGTTATTTTTCCCATCATTTCTTTTGATTTTATTGTCTGATTTGTACTTTCACACATTTTTCATCTATAAAGTACGCTTCTGAAAATAGCCTCCTTAATGAAGAATCTCTGCACTGAGCTGTTTGAAAAGCATTGATTTCTGTGCATCACCAACGTCATCAGAGCCAGGCGTCAGATTTAAATACTGCTCTCCGCATTTTGCAGGCACTGTCTCCATTCTCATCGTGAACTCAAAAACAGGGAACATGTACAGTAGTTGTATTAAGAGCAAAGCTCACGTGTTATTTTAGATGCAAACATTACTGGATGTCTGAGACAACTGGATTGTCATTCTGCTATAAAAGCTACAGTCAGATCCCTGCAAGCTTCATTAAAGGTAAGAAGGCATTTCTTTCTGTTGTCATTTCAGCTTCTTTGTGATTAATTGTGGCGTTTGCTGGTATGAAATATGAAACTGCTCTTATGTATAAGAGGCTTCAAGCATTTGTAAGGCTTCTAGTTTGATCAATTGAAATTTCAGGTCCAAATATTTAATTTGCTCATTGTTTTTTCATGTACCATAATAATAAGTGAATGTGTCTTTTGACACATTATACCTGATTGCAATTAAACATTTTGTTTCATTTGAACAGCAGAGTTATAATACCTGTAAATTGAAGTCATGATCTTAATGTAAAAAGAACATATTGTATTATTAGTTTGGATCAGTTTGGTAAGACTTACTGTACCATGAAACAAATACAAATATTTGATAATATGTTCTCTAGTCTATCTTATAGTATATTAGAGGCATATTAGACATGCAACTTTATTATTATATACATACTGGCCACAAAGTTTTGGCCAACTTACTATGTCATTAATGATAATGACAATAAGGACAGAGTATGATAGAAGAGCATGTTTATCACCCAAAAACAGCCAAAATAAGCCAACAGATGAATGATTTCAGAATCCTCATAACTAGCAATTTGTTCGGTGGTGACCTATGTGGTCAATGATAATGTATGATTAATGCCCGTTTCATTTTGGTTATAGGCTCTTGTCTGGCTCTTGTCTGATTTTGGTAAGGAATGCTTTCGCCTCTCATGGGACATCCAGTGTCAAATTAACCTAGATAGCAAATGTCAAACTGGCTAATGTAATGCATTTTTAATATTGCAATGGAATCAGAAATAAAGGCTAGTTTTACAGAAACATACACTGTATGCTTACAGATGAGCCCCATGAGCGCATTCACTTTGTTTGGTTACTGTGGAATGCTTTCTTGGGTAGCCTTAGGAATTCAGACAAAGATAGCTAGTACAGTATGTCCGCTCTAGCCAATATTTAACAACATTGTTTGCTGTGAAAATGTGAGTCAGCAGGTACTTTGGGGAAAAATGGCCCAAGAATAACAGATGCATTGAACCTTCCTCTGATAGTTATTGTAAGCTTATGTTACTCATATAAACATAAGTTTCCACAAACCCTTCTACTCTGTGAGCATCCAGGATCAGGGCTACCCTGTTTTAAAGGGAGGCAGAGCTCTAATGAATTATTCTTTATGTGGTGCTAGAGAATACAAAGAAGGAAAACATGTTGGAAATGAATTTTATATCTTTTGGTAATTTCTTCCTACAAAACAGCTTCACAAGTGTTTTCTACTATAAAGAAAGCAAAAAAAAACTGTTGAAGACAAGAACGAGTTGCTATTTGAATTAACTCCCTAAGATCTGCTGAATATGTAGATCAGGCTTGCTGTCCTGTGCAATGTGCTTATGGAATCAACCTTTTGGATTTAATAGATGGATTGAATGGAATATTTCTGAATCAAATCTTTTGGTACAGTACTTTTGAACTACTTTGAACTCTAGTTTTAGAATAACATACTAATGTTTCTGAAAGGTCTGTATGGTCTGCAACAGTAAAGCAGTCATGAAGTCAATTGTGCTCAGTATAATATAAACTGTTTAGGTTTACACTTAGGTTAAAACCATTAACTCTGTGAATGTTTTCTTTGGTTAAATATGACTAGTTCCATGATAATCAAACTATGGAGACCATGGTTAAAATTACTGAAATATATAGTGCAAATCAGTTTGCATGATTCACATAGATTTTTTTTCTTATTCTTAAAATATGTTGTATTTACTGTAGGTGTAAATAGGTCTAAACCTTTTACTGAGTTCATTTTAAATCTTTCTTTCTAATGTTATTTTCTAAAGGAAACCCAAAAACAAGGATGCCGTGTTAAATTTTTCAGCAGCTGCAGGCTAATGAACTCTTTTGTATGCTTGTGGAAACAAAATCTTTAAGAACTTCATTATTCTGATCAAATGCTGTTTTCAGTACAAAGACCTGTTACCTTGGAAACCAGCTGTTTGAAACTAAATGTTTTCAAGGTGCTTCACTACCTCAGAGGATTAAAAGGAAAATAATCAGAAGAAATTAGCGTAAGGGGCTCAGATGTACCCACACATATTCTGAGGTTTCAGTAACAAAGTAAATAATGTGCTTACAGTGCCTACTAACTTTACGTCATGTAGACTATTAAAAATAAAGAAATTAATCATTTAAGGATGATAAATCTCTTTTCCTAATTGTAAAAAAACAAAAAGACAATACTTACTTAACATCTATAGTAGAAAAAATAAGGTTATATTGTATTTTAAAATATAACTTGAATGACAAAAATGTGTATTCTACATGTAGCACAATAATGAATTCTTTGCTCAATAGATACAACTTTTTTAAATGTGTGAAACTATTTTAACCAGTTGAATGATCAAGGTATAGTACACCCTGTTAAATGACATACAGTATAAATTCCAGCATACTAAATACTGAAATATACAGTCAACATCTTTATACAGTATTACATCCAAATTTAGGGTAATTCAACACTGACAATTGCATTTTTTTCATTTTAAACAAAGTGAAAGGGAAAATATAATTTAGCATAATAATAATAATAATAATAATAATAATAATAATAATAATAATAATAATAATAATAATAATACTTTTCCCTTTGTGCCTTTTGCTTTAAGGCGTTTCTGAAAATCTGCCCCAGATCCGTCAAAAAGATGAACCTGGAAATCAAGAATATCTCATTTACCTCCGCTTCAGTCTCCTGGTTGCCCAACCCTTCTACTTGCCCAGCAAACCTTTACAGAATGATGTACCGTCCAAACTGGAACAGCATATTGTCAGGTTTCTCCAGGAAGAATTTTCACCGGGAAGAAACAGTGCCAGTAGGCCGCAATTCCATTACCCTGCAAAGACTCACACCAGCCACAAACTATATCCTCTGCGTCACGTGCCAGAGCTCCCAGCCCTCCGGTGACCAGTGTGCCATCTTTCATACCCTAGCAAAAGATGCTGTGGTTGTCACCAACAGGAACCTAGACCTCGCAACAGTGGTGTGGCTCACAAGCAGCATCCTCTTCATCATAACTACTGTAGTCCTTCTTCATGGCTGCTTCAAGCTGTGGTGCAGGAGGTGCAGGAGGAGTCATTACACCTCTGCCAGCACTGTTCATCATGAGGTTGCGAGCAGTCAAGCCTGGCAGGGAGGTTACGCTGAAACTGCCTTAGTCGATGAACACTGTAACATACCTACCCTGTCCAAGGTTGGCAAGCTGACACAAGATAAACTAGAGTACTTACCCGAAAAATCCCCAGATGGGATGACAGGCTTGCTAGGCAACAGTGTGAAATACAAGGATAAAATGGCTATTCTCCCACAAGCAGTATATGAATAGCAGGACTCTGTAGTGAGATTACAACTTGTGTAGGTGTTAATTCAGTAAACTTTTATGGCCTCACGGTTGAGTAAAACAACAGGCTTTGTTGAAAAATATAATCCCGGTATCTGAGTCCAGGCTGTGCCATTTTACAGTTCAGACTTGAAAAATGGCATCCCTGGAATAGCTCAAATGCCCACATGACAGAAATTAGCTGGAGCAGTCTTGACCTTTTAACAGCAATGCTTGTAGCTGACCAGATAATTGTAGGATCCTATAGCTTGTGTGAGTTGTGCCATTCCTCCAGTGAACATTGTAACCCGACTGGCTTCCACTACCAGGTGCAGAAAGGAGCACCTGTCTGACCCCTTCACCCCAGGGTTCAAGCACAACATGTGGCCAACATGAAGTTGAGGAGGTGATGAGGCGTGGCTGATTCTAAGCAGGGGAAGTGCTTAACCACATGAAGAAACTCTGACAATATTGAAATTAAGCACATGCGATTACAATCCCTGTAAACTACTGAACCTACCACACTTAATAACATCACAAAAAAAAACATCCTGTAATCCTGTAATATGCTTCTTAACAATGGTCCATCTATGCTATTCTGGAGTCAAATGTGTGTATTTTATCTTTATTCTTAATATGTGCATATTTTAGTAAAATACTCTGCTTGGGGGACAAAATCGGTTAATTTTTGTTATACAACTGTAATGTTCAGTAACTGTGCACATCTAACCTAGTTTTTACACATAGAATTGTACTATGTCATTAAAGGATATCATTTAAAATGCAAATATCTTTCATTGGTCTTGTTATAAGTTTTTGTTTTTGTTTTTTGCATTTGTAAGAAAAACATTAATAAAAACGAACACAACATAGCTATAAAGCAATGTTCGAAAAGCATGCAGTCATGCAGATAACCGAACAACCACCATCTCCATTTTTGCTTTCTACAAATAGCAAAAGAGAAGTCTTTATGTTCTAGATACCAATAGTATATATAGGGAATATAATGGAGTTTACTGTATAATGGAAGTTCGGGAAGGATGACAACAGCCAAGTTCTAATGACCTCTGCTGTTAGTAATTTGTAATCATTCCTAACATCATTTCCTCAAATAGAAAACTGTAAATATTAAATGTTAATACCTTTCTCTCCCTCACATTCGTCCAACCCAATCTTCATCTTATTAGCTGCCCTTTGGTCAATCCTCACTCTGCTTGGAGGTCACAGCTCCTCGTCCTGTGGTTTAAAGCACCCTATGAACCTTTCAATATGCTTAATTCTTGGGTGTTGTTATTACAATTGAATCTAATTTTATTTGTTTTCTTCTACAACACTGCCATCAGCGCATACTATGAAGACTATACTGGGATTCTATAGATGAAAATATAATACAACATCAATAAACAACAGCATTACCTATCGGTTCTACTACTGTTACATATTAAAATATCCCAGACTGCAAATAACATAATGCAACATATCTATTATCAGAGTTAATGTAGATCTGCTCAAGTCTGGGTTTTCTTTTGCAGTTATTTTCATGACTGCAAGTGTTAAAAAATGTGAAAACAGTGCAAAAGTCTGCATATTTTGTAAGGCAATGTATGTTGCTACTGTACCTTACCAGGCAATACTTCACTCATCCACATACTAACACCTCCTGTCAGCACTGGGCCAGAAAGTCATTCCTTTTCCACAGCAGTGCAATTCTTTACCATTGGGCCTGGTAAACAAGTAACCCACGCAACCTATCTGTCCAGATCCTGTGATGCACCCCAGTAAATCCTCACTGTATCTTCTTCAAACTACATGTATCTCATAGAGCATCGTGTTCCACAGGACCATTAGGCCTCCCTGTCTGGCTCTAGAAACCTCAGCTGAAGTCTTGACTGCTCCTTTCCATCCTATGGAATTACGCTCATTCCAGGTTCTCTATTCTCAGCCCTGCTGTGTCTAATTTTGCTCCATTCCCCAATTACCAGGCAACCACCATGGCTTACAGCCACACCATTAGTCCTGGGTTATGAGTCAAGATGGTGGCTTTCTCAAGGAGCCACCCCTCACTATCATACACTGTATTACATACAGTACCCTCATACCAATGTGACATTAAGGTACAGAAATGTGTTCTGCCAGGGCCATCTGCTATTTTTTTTACACCAAAGTGCTGCTCTGTGCCCACCGCAAAGTCTGAATCTGAGAACCATGCAGTTCTCACTGACAACACGGCAAGCTTGCAATGTTAAAATTGTTCAAGGCACTAGTGAGTCCCCATGTTAAAATATTGTACAAACTGTTGGTCATCATGTTATGAATATGGTCCAACGATATAAATGAAAAAGATTTACACACAAACAAACATACAGTACCAGTCATGCTCAAATTAAGTAAAACTACATTTCTGGGGACTAAAAAAATACGGTAAAAACAGGCAGTTCCTTCACTTATGCTTGCTGTTAGTACAGTAATGCACACAACAGGAAATGCTAGTTACATACAGTACATACAATATGCACTGCCAGTGAGATACTCTCTCTCTGTCTTCAATCCTTTCAGCATCTCTGGACTCCAGCACTGGCTTTCCCCTGCTAGTGTTTCCATGGTGACCGCAAAGCTAGATGAACCACCTTTGAAAATGAGCACTGAGAGAGAAAGAAAGAGGGAAAGTGGTCTAAGGAGAGAGAAAAAACAAGAGAGTGGCACTGTTAAATATAATAACACACAGAGTAGAGAGAAAGGTTATTTAAAATTGCTAACTATTACTTCTGATAATATTAACCCGACATCTCTCTCTGTCCCTGGAGTCCTGAAGTGAAAGCCCTAGTCTATCAAAGATTATTTTAAACAAAATTACTCTAAATAATTATACAAATGTATTTATCAGCACTAATAGACATTAAACATTTTACAAGTTTATAAAATAGAATTTTAAATCCAATTTGAATGACAGAACGAAACAAGCCTATATTTTTTAAATATAAAAGATTCAAATAGTGAGAACCCAGGATCCCCCACCTCCACTAGCACTAAATAGGTTGTATTCATCCATGTGAAGGTGAGGAGTAATTTAAGTTAAGAAATCTTCAGGACATTAGTATAATTAATTTACTGTACATGTTTAACTGGCTGATAGAAACATAAATACCACATATGTTGGGTTGTGAGACAACCGGTGCTGAGGCGCATAAAGTAATGAGAAAAATGTAATTCAGCAGCTGTTCCTCAACAGGACTGCTTGTATTTGACTCATCAGAGTTCTCAATTGTCCAGTTCTCTTCTTTAACTGTCAGAGATCTCCACTGCTGTTGACTTGACTGCAAATCCTCATGTATCTTCCTCAGTTCAGTCTTCACACTTCAACTGAAGAGAGCAACCATTTACATAAATTGGATCTCAGCTGTCGGCTATCATGGCAGTAACTCACAGCAGCTGGCCCCTCTCAGGTAAATGTGAGCTGGCGGCCTGTCACAGCATGGTGGTATATTCACATCAAAATCACTTTATGTGAAGAAATTTCTTCTCATAATGTCTGTAGTAATTCATAGATTGCTCTGAATACTGGTAAGCAACTCTTTTATCACAGACACTGCAACTTGCTATAGATGTGTATTTATTTTCCCTGACTATTCCTTTTGATGGGCTGGAAGATCTGATAGGACTGACGGTGATATTCCATTCTTGGCTGGAGCAGTGTTGTCATCCTGGGTCACATTTTAATTACAAGACTGTTTAGACAAGTTTGGGACAATAATTACTGTATGTAGCCCAGTGCTTGGAGGCTGTTGGGACTAGAATTGACAGGATAGTTTCTTTTCATTACTGTTTTGTGACTATTGAATTGATTTTCACACATGACAACTTTGCAACACTATGACATTTCTATTCTACGTTGCAATGCTTTTATGATGTTGCCACAACATGGTAATCGTGCAAACATTTACTTCATGTTCTCAATTTTAAATGCACTTCCCGGTAATATCTACTGTACACATGTCCTCTGTGTTTCAGTGTTGATTCTGAAGAAGTCTACAGGGTTGAACTTGTCAATTCCTTTTGGGGTATTAAATACCCAAGTGTGAGGATTTCAAATACTTAAATCAAGTCCTCTCTTAGTTTTCTATAGTTCAGATCTAAAATGATGTAGTCATTTTAGCCTCTAAGGTTTGTTAAATGGTTTGTCATGCAAATTTCCAAAGCTTTTCCTTTTTTAATGATGTCTATGTCTTGTTTGTCTTGGTCTATGTAGCATGTTTTTACAGCACCAAATAAAGTATACCAGAGTAAATTCCTTGAATATGAAATGTAGTTGGCAAATAAAGGTGATTCTGGTTCTGATTTTTCTAGATTTTTTTCTTTTTTGGTAGGTTTAAAATATATGATTTCAAAATGTTACGGATTGGTGCATTGTACAACTATTTCCTGAGGTCACGTAAAAAGACCAACAAATAATACTTTTTTTTACAGGAAATGGTGAAATGGCCAGCATGAATACAACACGTTACTTTAGTATCTGTAGGGATCATGCACTGGCTCATTGCTGATTAGTTTCTCATTCTTTCTGTCTTCTGAGCCTCCCCTCCTCCTTGAAGTGTAACCAAAGCAACACTGTAAGCACAGCTGTTCAAGGGATTTTGATCTGAGGAACAAGCAGTAAGTTAAATTAGCCACTAATGAGAGTTCAGTTTCATGTTCACACTTTATCACATGTGGTTTTAGTCTCTGCTAATGGCATTCTTTAGATATTGCAATTTAATATCAAACATAAAAGCACTTATCTGCTGAAGCAAGGTCAGTCTAATTAATTAAGTTAAGGCTTTGATGAATTAGACTTAATCCTTTAGTCATGATGTTTGGTAAAAACTAATCCAAGAATATCATTCTGATCTTGATGTATTAGGACCTTGACAGAATTTTGTAAATACAGTTGAATTGGCCCTTGACTATAAAGCTTCCATTATATTTACTTTCATTCTAAATGTATTATATTGATTATATACAGTGCCCTGCTAAAGTGTTCACCCTCTTCCAATGATGTCGAAGTCCAAATTACTAATTATATATGCATATTTTTGAAGTTAATATTTTAATCATAACTAGAATGCCCAAATGCTTTTGTCAGAGAAGTTAAGAATTAAATAATGAAATTAGTTAAGTGCCAGCAAAAGGTAACTTTTTGTTCAAAGGTACAAAGTCTACAGAATTTCTATATATGCTGGTTAAGTCTGCCTCAGCACCACTTTTTCAGTTTCAAAAATGAAACTCCTAAGTCAGTCACAAACCCAAAGGTTATGTCCTAAACCTACAGATACTAGCTTTGCATCCTTTGAAACCCCCAAAGTGAAATGTCATTATTTTTCTTTGTTGTGAGAAAACAGTCAACAGAGTTTGTGTGAAAAGAATCCATCTATCCGTTTTGTAACCACTTCTTCCATTCCAAGGTCAAAGATTCAAAGACTCCTATACCAGGAGAACTTCAGACATTAAATTAAACTTGATTTGCACATTCTCCTTCTTCAACAACTGGCTAATATCTTTCTAATGTTGTAATTCATTTACAGATTACTGCCCTTCACACTCCCTTTAGAATTTCTTGTCCAGTTTTCCATCTCTTTAGTTCCATTTCATTTCACCTACCCATTCTCATTTTTATTTCCTTTGTCTTCCTGACAGAATCCTTTGCCTTCTATTCCTGCTTTCTCCATGATCCCCCCTACACATCCGAAGACTCTCCAAAGCTAAGAACCAACAAAGAGTGTTTCCTTATTTTCAGCCTGGAGTTCACCTCTCCTTTTTCCTTTGCAACTCTCACACTGACATAGCTTCCCACTCACAATTTTTTGTGTTCCGTGTGTGTACAGTTTTAAATACAGACTCCTTTCTAGGTTTTTTAGTCTTTCCAAAAAGGAAGGGGAGAATGCTAATGAGATAGAAAGGATGTCAATTGTCCCAAGTGTTATGGCTAATTCTTGTGCTCTAATTCATTTCAGAGAAGTGAGTATTTTATTTCTATGAATATAAATCAGATATCATTTTAATTTCAAGCTCTTACTTCCTTGGTACCCCATGGAAGGTTGGTGAAAAGAAATCTGTATTTGTTGCAGACTTTTACAATATGTTATGCAATATAGGCACTTTTGAGCAAGAGGCAGGCAGAAGAGATTGTAAATTGACCACATTAAATTAGTCATGAAATGATAATGTTACAAATGTGCAAATGCACACTTGCATTTTTTTTCACAGGAGAGCTGAATCCGAGCAGACAGCAGAAATATGAGGTACTTTTTGTGAACAGCAGCCACAGTGCCTTGCAATCAATTGCTCTGTTGTGCTGCGCATAAAAAAAGGAGTTACAATTACATCCGCCAACGCTGTCAGGTCATTACAGCAGAGCACAATGATACTCACATTGGAGCAAGATAATTTTATTATTATTCAAATTAAGTTATAAAACATACACCATCTCCAAGGACCCGCCTTAGGGGATAAAGATTTAAAGTTGTAAAACTATACTGCATACAGCTGCATGAAAATAAAGAAAATAAATATTTAAAAAATCTCAAAAATCAAATTCAATTATTGCACATAGAACAATGGTGTGAAAGTCGTATATGGATTTTAGAGGTAATCCAATCCATTATAATTATTACTCTTATTATGCTATGAGAATCAATTACACATATTTTAAAAAATGTAATTAAAGCTTTCAGCTATTTTCTTTTGCTACAAACTAATATCTTTGTCGGATGCATTGTCCTGGCTTTAATGACTATACAGTAATATCAAACACCCAGAGGAAAAAGCTAACAATTTGAGCAGGACTGCCATTAATTCAGACAGAAATTGTTCTGGAAGGTGTTTTGGGATGTCAAAAATCCACTTTATGAATGCAAGATAAAGATGTACCTCTTTTTAAAGAGTATATTATCTTCTGGGGTAGGGGATCACCTCTTCATCATGCAATAAGGTTTTACAATATGTAATACAAAGTTCTCACACTGGTTCCGATGGAAGGTTACATAAAGAAAGCTGGAACTGATATACATTAACATAATTTTCTACATCATTTGATGATTCAGGATCAAACATTGTTTGATTTTTACATGTGATGTTTCTTTCAGTTAAATAAAAACTGGTCCTTTTTGCATTTCCTGAAGTAAGCAAAAGTATGTTTGTCAGCTTAATTGACATATTTTATATATAAGTAAATATTACAATAATGTACAAAATGTTATGATATACAGCAGGTAATACATGCAATATGTTTGCATAATTCTGTTGGTACATTTATAATTCAATAATATACCTGCAGTTACAATTATGCTTCAGTATTACATCAGGTTTTTAGTTTTCATCACAATTAAAATATATCTGTCAAATGGATTCTCTATATATAACAAAGCCTGCAGTTTCTATTTTTTTGTCAAATAAAGTCCTTTTCACAGTTTGAAGCAATCTGCTGTACTTGTATGATACATCAGTTATTTAGATATTTTTTTCAATCTATTTGGATCCACCACAGCAGTATCACAGTTGAAGGGGAATATGAATAATAGTTCACATTAATGCCTTGTGTGGATGATACATGATACATCCCATCCTACTCCATCTCTGCAATTCTCTTAATGTCCTGAAGCAACTCAGAAAAAAGGGGTCTACCTTCAGGTTTCTGAAAAGGCAACAAAATTATTTTATGGATCATTAGTCAGTTCACAATTATACAATTCATTGTTTAAGGAATAGAGAAGTATATGATGTAAATCAGATTCCGATTTAATTATACTGTAGTATTCTAATCTTTGGAACATTTTTAATCATTTCACTAACCCAAGAAGTGTGGATCTCTATTTTATTTGATCACTGGCCACTTTCACTGGTGTAGACAGTTATTTCTGAGTTATAAGTAGGTGAATTAGGAAAATGTTAACACCCTCACAAGTAACACAACACTACCTACAGCTTCACTCCTCTGGGGTGTATTCTCAGAGAATTCAGTACCCATTCTCAAAGATGTTTTTTTTCCAGATATAAAAGGCCTCACCTCAGATCTAGCAAGAGGTAATAAAGCGATAGAAAAGAGAGCAATTTTATTTTTCTTGAAGATGGCTTTGTGAGACCGGCAGGAGTTAATGTGGAAACGGAACACTGAGAAAAAAGTTTAGAAAGGAGCAAATTAAATTTTAAGATAGAAAGCATCATAGGCTACAGTAACCTCAATGATTTAACTCATCCTGTGCTCAAAATATGCACTAAAGTGAAAGTGAGTTTGCATTCTTTTTTTCTGGGAAAATGTTGTGATTATTTTAATATAACATAAAATCCAATCACCTCGTGCCAGCAGCAGTACATGAGTTCATACACTGGGAGCGAGGCCTTGTGAGGTCGGTAGAGCCTTTGTCCCTGAGTGATCTCTTCCACAACCACTGGGTTCGGCTTGTTTTCAAAAGGTGTTTTTCCTTCAGTGAAAATCTCCCACATGAGTACACCTATAAAAAATATATCAACCTACATTTATACCCCAGGGAAACAGGAAACCTTCAGAGTTACCCAAACCTAAATAGCTTTGGAGGGATCTGTGGCCATCCAAAGAGTACATTACTGTACAGTAGATTTGTTTTTATTTAAATGTATTTAAAGGAATACTTTTGAATAAATGTGACTCTCATGTTTTCTGGACTTAAATTCATTATGACAAAAATGTTTTGTCCTTATGCAATGTTATTAAAATTACTATATAACATTTTTAGATTTTTGTAAGCATTATCCAATCTGTAAATCTTTCTGTTCTGCTTATTGCTACTGTTTACTTGAGTCCATACTGTACAGTATATAGGCCTTCTCCCACAGTCATTTACAGTGTAAGTACAGGCATAACTCAAATATGGTTCTTTTCATTCTGTTATGAAACATGAAGAAAATAAATTGGAAGCCATCCTTTGTGACTATTTCAGAGGAAGAGTTCTTTTGAATTGCCATTGCACAACAACAGTGAAGTAAATGGTGCAGCATAACAACAATGGAGCCATGCCTAGAACAGGGCTCTCCTTTATGTACAAACAGTATTATAATCATATAGTTATTTTTGAGGAATAATAAAAACAATAGGGGAAAAGGCAGAGGCAATTAGGTTGAATTTGTTACTCACTCATTTCTCTGACTTGAGTGAAACACAGTGTAATTATACTGTATTTTAAGACAATTACGGTCCTGCGTGTTTTTTCATTTCTTCTTTTCAAGTGGCCAGCTTGTACAGTGCTTTACAAGGCAACCCTTCGCCTACAAATTACATTATTAAGGGCAGAAAGGAAGAAGGTAAAGATTCCAAACACTACAGAACAGATGTACCATTGTTGTGATGTGCCACAACTACCTTTGGTAAACATAACTGCAATGCATAATTTAATCTTCTTTGTCACCAGGTGAGTTACTGTAGGTCAGAAGATAATAATGTTGAGGAAAATATAGCATGTTTTGGAACCCAAGAAAAATCCATTAATGCACGACAAGGTTTCAGAGAAAGGTTTTTTTATATAAACCCCCGCTGAGAACAATGCAGACAATCAGGAAGTTGACTTACCAAATGACCATACATCAGATTTGTTGCTGTATTTGTTGAAATGAAACACTTCTGGTGGAGACCACTTAACAGGGAACTTGGAACCAGTAGAGCTAATATACTGATTGTCAAGAACATACCTGGAGATTAGATATTGAAATAAATCATTAGTAGCTTTTATTTCTCACATGTTCAAAACACACTATATTGATGTGCTCTGTCAAAGTGAATTTTAAATCTATCATGAAATGTCTCATTATCAAAGATCTAGTCAAGATAAACCAAAAAGAACAGCTCAAATGCATGTGTTCTGCCAGTTGGAACACTTCAGCATTTTAGCTATCACAAAAATGACACACAATAAAAAAATATTTCCAAAAAATATTAGCACTGATTACCTGAAAACTTAAAAAGCACAATCTTTTTTTTCAGCTAGTTTAAATTCTACATATTATTATATTCATTTCTGAAGTGCTTTAGGTTGGACACCCACTAACTGTGCACATGAATACGGTTCTTTTTGCATTCAATGGACAATCTGTTGGCAATACTTGTCAGTAATTTTCTAATCGTTGTTGGTTTTAGAAAACAACAGCCTACCTTGTCATTCCAAAATCACATACTTTCACCACATGCTTGTCACTGACTAAACAGTTTCTTGCAGCCTGTTTCAGAAAACAAAAGAGAACTGGTAAATATTAATTTGTTCATTTGCATTTTAACTAATGTTCCATGAGCACTGAGAAATGTTTATTATGTATTCATAGTGAATACATAATTAACTCTCATGTGGAGCACAGCTGTGGTGAGCCCTTAAAGCAAAAAGTTTTGTTAAGAGTTCAGTTTTTCGACACAAAGTATTTGTTACTGAGGCTTTTAAAGACATTGAAGTCTGTTTTACCTTTAACTTGTCATTTTAAAACACAATTAAAAATGCTGAATAAAGAGGGATTAAAATGTTCTCCTCTGTAGCCTTTCTTGTTCTTACGAGTGCTTACCAGGTCTCTGTGGATGAAATTTTGGCTCTCAAGATACTCCATCCCTTCGCACACATCCTGACACATAGCCAGTAATGTATCCTTATGGAAGGTGGCAGTTCTCTGCCGAAGGTAATTAAGCAGGCATCCATTTTCCAAAAACTCTGTCACTATGCAAATAGGCCTCTCCTTGAAACATACTCCATACAGCTGTACTAGCTTGGGGTGGGACATCTTCCTGTCAAAGGAAAAAATCCATTAGCTTCAGGAATGTTGTCTGTAACACACCTGAAGTATTTCAAAACTACAGTAGGTGCAGGAAAGTATAATAATTCATGGCATTGATACAGTGGTTTTCATCTCAAAAAGTCTCAAAACCCTTTACATCTTAGAAGAAGAAGACATTGCCAGTCATGAAAGTGCTGCACCTACCTGGGTGACAAACAGCACCAACAGCCTCATTATTTAGCCCATCAATCTAGAAGTGAGAGCTTCCCTCACCAGTTAAAATAAAAGGGAACTTTAGGTAGAGTGGATTGTACAAGCCCAGAGTGGTATTTTATCAGGATACTGACATTAACACCCCTACTCTTTCATTCAGTGCCATCGAATCCTTAATGACCAGGTTTCCATGGATCCAAGGCAGCCGAGCATTGGGTTTAATGTCTCACTTTACCTCCTACAATACAGTCTGATTTCCTCTAGGTGCAAAATAACCTTAACATAACTAAACTGAAAGAAGAATTGTGATTACATGACTATGGAGAAGCACGACTTTAACTCGTCAGGGTTAATCCAGCTCTAGCCAATTTAACGTTGAGTTTGTTTTATCAATAAGAAAATTGCCTTGTTTTCTACTTGTATATACTGTATGTTTTGTCATTGGTTATTATTGAAGCGATTCTTGAAAATGCAACCTGAGGCACAAAATGTGCATTTCTGCAGCAGCTGGAAGGAAACGGGGGTGAGAAACAGCTGAAGACCACTCTACAGGAAGTGGTCACCTGAAGGTACAGTGCAGGGGTGACCTCAGGAAGACTGCTCTGTGAAGTGTGATATTTGCCATTTAGATTTTTACTTGTCATCACACCTACAACATATTTTCCCTTTGCGACTGCATGTGGAGAGTCAGAGGAAAATTGTAAGTAGGGCACTGGTTACCATAAAGAGATACATTCTGCAAATTTGCATCATGACTCCTACACGATGAGTGATTAAAAATATGTTTTGCTTTCTGTCATAGTAATACTTTTCTTAAAATATATGGGTCTTCAATGCAGCACTTTCATGTGAGGATATTGCCTCTGGATTTTCAGAGAACTAACGGAGGGTAAACACAAAGAAAATATCATTTCTATGGCAACAATTTTTAGCCCATTTCAATTTTTCAAGGTGAGTAGCTGGTCTGGCCTACTACATTAAAATTAGTGTAAAATTAGTGGCCCAGTATTCTTGTGTTAGCATGGGGTGGGTCTTTTAGTCTCTACTCTCTGTTGTTAACACTGAAGCACTTTATACCTATGATAAACATCACAGCTCACTCACTGATGTATGTTTCTCAGAGGAAGGAAGTACTTGAATACTGTTTTTGAACACAAAGCACACTTTTGCGTTGTATGTATAGTTACAGAGTCAATGTATGCATTGTCACCCTACAGCTGAAACAATGTTTTCCACAAAGTTATTCAATACTACATTTTGTTAAATGAAATAAATGTTGCTTGTTAAATTGTATTTATTTTGTCAATAACCCTTCCCAACTTTCTAAACACTGCTTTATGGTGTCAAAAAGTACAGTAGTACAATTTTAATAACTAAACTAATAAAAACACCATGATACTTATGCTCGTTCACATCTCTGTCGATGCCTTAAGATTGCGGGTTTTCCGAATAGAATATGCAGTCTTGTTATGAAGGTGGATTCAAATTGTTCTGCTGCAGTGGATCAAAGAGCAATGCAGAGTGACACATTATTTCACATCCCTTCACACTGAGTGCAGTACAAACAATGAAATTATGCTCCTAATGAAATTATGTAACCTGATAACCAGAAACCTCTCACCTCTCACCTCTCACCTATGATCTGAACCTCACATTGAAATCTACCTCTACCTTACATGTCAAAAAGCTCACTCCACATATTAATAATTTTCTATCCTTTTATTTCATTCTGTTGATGCATGTTTTTGCACATCTGATGTTGTTTTGCACATTACCTGTTACCTTTTGTTGTTTTGTACATTACCTGTTGTCTCTGTCTTTCATCATACAATTGTATTGTTGTTTTGTTTTGTACTACTTATCATCTAAGAGCTAGCTAAATAGCATTGTGTTATACCATAAACATGTGTATGAGTATAATGACAATAGACTTGAACTTGAATTTGAGAAACAAAATCAAAGGAATCAGACAAAATATGTCAATAAAACAAGAAACAAGACAACAAGAAAAAAATATAACAGCAAAAATAAAAATAAGTCTTCCTTCATTCTCAAGATAATATCTTTAACTTACGTCATGACCTTGGCTTCTTCAATGAAATCTTCTTCTGACATTGACCCTTCATTGATAGTCTTGATGGCCACTTTAAGAAGTGCCCGCCACTTTCCTAAACGGACCAGTCCAAATTGCCCACTCCCTAGTTCCTTCATGAAAGATAGCTCTGAGGGGTTTATCTCCCATTTTTCTGAAAAAAACAAACATTGAATTTTACATTTATTTAATTTGCCATTTGTGTCCATTGACAAAAGAACATTATCAACAGCAAAAACACAAAACATTAAGCAATAATTATTACTATAACTCAGCTTAGGGGTCAGCTTCATCGACTCTAGGCTTTCTGATATGAAGCAACATCATGAACCCTCAGTGGTCTAATAATCTTGATATGACATAACCAGCCCGGAAGTAAAACACTACAACAATTTAATATAATATTTCCGTGGTTATTAGATACAATTCGCGCAATCCAGTTTTGTCTTGTAATTACAGTGTCTTGCTACAAACAGAAAACTATATGAACAAAAAAAGTACATGGACAGAGGCATTTTTGGTTGAATTTATTGTTTCTTACATCCACAAACTTTGAAATCGTTGTCGGTCAAATCTTTTCAAATAGAGTACAGTATGTGTTAAGGTTTTTACTGCATTTCTTGTTACATTTCAAAGATCAGAAATCTCCTGAAATGAATGTCAATGATGAATGGTAACATCTACAAAAATGCAGTTCTTGGTAGGATGACATGTACTCACCATGGCTGAATCCCGCGGTTGCTGGCACACACTTGCCCATGGGCCCAACTGGATATCGAAGTCTTGTGATGAGGCCTGCAACAGAAAAAATGATTTTCCCAGCTATTCCTTTTTTAAAAAGTTACAGAGAGCTTAGTTTCATATAATTAAGACAACACATCATGTTAAACATTTGCAGTAGTTAGCTCTGCTAACTCAATGCAATGGCACCGGGTTCAGTTCCTGAGGTTTTATCCATTTAGAGTTTGTACAATATGTTCTCTCCATGTTCCTGTGGGATTTTGCTGGGTGCTCCAGGTTATTCCCACAGTCCAAAGTCTCGTTAAATTTAAACTATACAGCACATCTTTCTAAAGCAAACACATGAAAAGAACACCTGTTAACACCTGTTAAGTAAAATCTAATGGAAAACAAATCATGTATACTTTAGTTACATTTCGTCCTGTGTTTCCACACTGTCCCCTCTCTATAGTGTCCACACTATTTCCTGTAAAACGAATTCTTCATAGATGACATACCTGTATGGAGTCAGTTGTTCCAGAACAAAGCAAATATTTTTGTACGAGTGTAATTGTCAGTATTATTAAAAACATAAAATCTTAACTTTAAAGAACTATATAATAATAACCAAAGTATTAGTATCAGTCATCTTGACATTCTTTTTTTGCATACAGTAAAATGTGCATGCAAAAAATGTGTAAAATGTGGTTGTGATGATACATAAATGCAATATTACACATCTCATTGCATTTATTGCGGAGTGATACAAAACTACATGCAGAAAAAAAAAACAGATAAAATCAACAAGCCCTCATTTTTTTAGCTGACTGAAGACAGTGACGTAGTCTAGCTGGTGGTGCACATCCTTTTGCAGAAACCCCTTGGGCATGTGTTTGTTCTCATGCACACTGTGTATCACATGTTCTGCACAAAGAGTACCACCCGATGCCTTCAAATGAACCTTTTAGAGTTCCTCAATGTAGATATAAAAAATGAGGAATTCCTCTATCCCACATTCAATCAAACTAAATCAACAAATCAGTTCACAATAAAGGACTATTGATTCATGGACAATTGCAATTACTTATTATGTGCAAAAATGATTTTTTATGATGATTGTGGGGTAGTAAACTTACAGATTCTGGTAATCTAAGTGGATTCCTGTCAGAGTGGTGTGTAATGACTATGTACTGTATGTGTGTATAAGTAAATGTCTTTTAGATAATGTTATATTTATTTTTTATTTGGAAATGTTTATTTATACTGTTTGTGTGTTTTTGTAAGTCCCTCTGTGTGTAAACCATAGTTGTTTGGATGCAGAATGAATTGCTGAGAAACCAGACAATAAAGTGTTTGTTATCATATTATAGAATTCATTTGAAAAATGAAGTTCAGGACCAGGAATTAAATGAGAATTTTAGAACATAGAATATTAAAACTACTGTGCAGCTGTTGTACTGTATTGGCAATAACATTTTACAATTCTTGGGGAGTCATCAAAATGATAGGGACAAATGCTAAAATGCAAACTGTGAAATCTGTGGAAGGCTAGCCAGACATTGTAAAATAGTTCATGCTGGACCACGGAGATGGAAATAAAATGTAATATTAAAATCTCTAAAAAGTGTACGCATTTACCTGCTGCATTGTGCTGATGATAATGAATTACTTCGGGTATTGAATCGAAAACGTGTTTCTCTGCCAGAAAAAACTGCCCCGAGGAATTCTGCTTAATCTGATAATGCCTTATTGCACTGTCTTTTGAGCTATAAAGAAAAAAATATTTTTTTTTATTAAAGCATGCAGTATTAAGAACGTAACTATGCATTTTAAGAGCAAAAAATAAAAAGGTAGAATGCCAATAACGAATTGTGAATAACATGAAAATTAATTATATGATGATCATGTGCATTAGGAACACAAACCAAACTATGACCTCATCCCTGTCAGTTCATCAGCTTGGGAACAGCAGACACCAGTGTGTTGTGAATAATGGGATAAACAGTAGGATCACATTCTCCAGGATTCTGACCTACTGTACATACAATAAACATTTTAAGTTTCCATTTAATGTGTGAAAGGTTTCCCTACCACTCTCAGGTAACAATGGCTGAAGTTTTTTCCCACCTCAGTTTTATAAGAAAAGCAAGTAAGAAATATATCAGTCAGAGCTTAACACCCATCTGTTCCCAAGATGTTGCGCTCTCACTGAGGAATAAGCGATTTATGGATGGATGTTATCTTATAATAGTTCCCACTGTTGATGGCTCATTTTTTAATGTTGTCACAAACTGTGGTGGCAGTTTCATCATTTTCAGCGTTTCCCAAACCTAGTCCAGGAATGCATTGGTGGCTTCTGTTGACTATTTCAACTCAAAGCTTTACAAATTCTGATTTTGAAGCTTTAACTACACCGTTTGGTTTTGAAAATTAGTTTCAGCTTTCAATAGAAGGAGAATATGAGAAATAAGTATTCCCCCCCCCCCCCCCCCGTGTTTGCAAGGGTTTTTTCCATTTCCTCCGGTTTCCACCCACAGTCCAAAGACCTACTGGTAGATAAACTGGCTTCTGGGAATACTGGCCCTGGTGTGAGTGCGTCTGTATCTGTGTTTGTGTCGTTGTGTGCCCTGCAATGGACTGGTGTCGTGTCCAGGGTGTATCCTGCCATGTGCCTGTTGCTTGCCAAAATAGGCACCAGCTGCCCTGTAACCCTGAATTGGATGAAGTGGTTAAAAAATGGATGGATGAAAAGGAGTTATGCTGTGAAATGTATTGAAAGTTATACATTACTACTACTATTACTAATAATAATTAGCAATATGCCAGCATTTAACTCTGCAAGACAGTGGTGAGTGTAAATTGGTCAAGAGGAACACCCCACAAAGTAAGATTCAACGGTCTCCAAAGAATACAAAACATATTCATTTGAATGGAAAAATCTTTTATGGCAATATTTGTGTTTTTAAGTGTTATGTGAAGGTAGACACAATTATATTTTTTGCAGTGTAATGTAATAATCATCTTCCCACCTTTTATTCTGAAACTTTAGAAAATTCAGACAATTACATCTAATTTTACATCTTATTGCTTGTTTTGTGGGGAGTTACAAACTATTAAGAGTTATGTGGTTGGTTAATAACTAAGATAAGGCTCTTACCTCACAGCTTTGGTATAAACAGATACTGTGTAGCTACCCAACTGACTTGAGTCTCGAACAACGAACGCACCTTCCTTTGCCTAGAAAAGAGGAAATCAGGTTTTCAGGCTTCCCTGCAGGTGCAGAGCAATTAACCTTTCAAAGCAACACACCAGTTAGTGAGATGATTTTTCTTTTTCCTGTGCAGCATAAAATGAATCTAATTTCATGCTACTTTCCCTGATGTTTTTTTTGCTTGGTTTGAGATATTTGAAGACAAGTAGTTTTGGTAGGAATAAATAGTAAAACCTGACAGCCCCATTTATTTTGAGCTTCTGATTTGGGTGCCGTACAATGCTAGCTAATATGTCCGTGAAAAACTTATGGTTAAATGTTGTTACTGTTTGCCTACCTCATACCGAAGAAGTTGTTCTGCCTTTGCTCTTGTTAAGTTTTTACAGTACCACCTAGCACGCAGAAACAAAGAACCAATGTTTCAGTGGTGATTGAAAGAGCACACCCTTGTTTTGAATGTAATGAGATTCATTAGACCTACTTACTGATGTGCCTGCATATTATTTTTCTCTGTAACATAATTGCTGGGGATGAATCCTTCATTCCTTGAAAAGGGAAAGTGCCAAAAAGTACATTAAATTAAATACAACTGAAATTCATTTTGATTTCCACTTATGTTAGACACAATTTGAAATGCAGAAGGGTAGGAGATAACCTGCACTTGACCTCACCCATGTTTGTCTCTGGCTTTCCACCAGTGCTGGTCCTGTTTGTGAATGATGGTATACTCTTCGCCTTGCTTTAGTGTTAAGTCAGTTTGCTCTTTGGCTAAAAAGTCATACATTGCAATTACACTGACTGTCTCTGTGCCGTCCTCTGTGGGGGGTGGAGGAGGAGGCTTTCTCTTGGAGCTGTGTGACTGAAAGAAAAGAAAAACGAGGACTTGCAATTGTCCCAACTTGTCACAAAACAGTACCTCTTTGCACAGCTCAAGCTATCTGTCTGTTTTCCAGACTGTGTGATATAAACATTTAATACATGATGCAACAGCAGTACAAAAACCTAATATACAAATACATTAATTAGTTATAAATTAACCCCATTATTCAATCACATAGACTTCTATTGCATTACTTTAGAGCACTTCCATTTGTTCTCTGCAGATGATACTCTTAACTTCTGTTCCTCGTTAACAGACTGATCATGCATGAGCTAGCACAGAGAAGTGACCTCCCCAAACCCAGCTTTCTCCAGCACCCTGCTGTGCTTAAAACAAATAAGACTTGAAATGACAGATAAATGGCTTTTCCTATATAGGCTCCAGTGCAAGCCACTCTTTCTTGTAGAAAACACTTTATAGAGTTGCAAATTGTAAATACTGCACACTTAAGAGGGCGCCATTACAATGCTGTGTGAATGCTCTACAGAAAACTGACCACATCTTGTTCAGTTCAGCACAGGTTTTGTGGCTTTTGCAAAACAGGCACCAGAATTGTTCTCTAAGGCTTTGTGCACTTGCATACTTCTGCTGAGGTCAAGAAAGTGACCAACTTCCAAAGCAGTACGTTTTTAGAGTCATGATGTGGTTTTCTCTACAGAAATTTTCATGAACCTCAACCAGAATGCTGAAAGCCCTGCGTATTTTGACATGTATGTCTTGCAGTGAAATCTAGGCCTGGACAAAAAAGGTTTGTATCTATTAAAGGATTCCTGAAGCCTCACTTCAACATTAGAACTGGGTAAATATGTCCCTGACGTCAAAGTCTTGCCAGATAAAGAAGAATACATTTCAAATACTAAATGAAAGTTATTAGTTTCCATTTGTTTCATCTGACCTTTGAAGATCTAAACTGTAAGGATGACTTTTGTTGATGCTCTTCTGAATTTTGAAAGCAGCCACAATCATATTGTCAAAATTTCAAGAGAAACAATAGACTAGCAGAGAATGTAGACTGTATTTGAAAATTTAACCTGTTGCACACTCTGAATTTTGGTCATGACCTTTTCTTTTCAGTTTACAGATTCCTTTGTTTTTCTTTACATTGTTCAACATGAATCTAACATTTTTCCAGGGTGCTTCTAGCAGAAATTTGGCTTGGTTTTAAAGTGAAAGGAGTGGGCATACTGTACCTTACATAATGCACATTAATGAAACCCTTGATATAGCTTTGTAATTCAGATACTGTGTATATTCAGAACAGTAGCTTGTTAATAAAATGCATTTTATAAAAGCAGAACTGAAAGCTGTACTTTTTATACAGTACCATAAAATTATTGAATAATAGGAAAAACAGAGTGGGAAAAGACACATAAACTGAATTATAAAGTCAAACTGTGCAGGTGGTGGAAAGAGTTACTTTAAAGAGCAACCACCATATTAATTAAATTTAAATATTTTCCTATTAACCAAAGAGTACCTTGACTTGATGTATGAATTCAAAATAGATACAGAGATCATTTAAAAAAAAATACAGGTACCAGACATTTACTACAATTTAACATTTTTATAACACAACTTAACAATGATAAATAGAAAACTGAATCAGCAATTCTCAAATCTTGTTTTAGTTTCTCTATATTTTAAACATTCTTTATCTCTATCATAGTTGCAGTTGAAAGTCTGGGTTTCTGCTGTGGGTGGAGATGGCAGGGAAGAGGCATGAGAAAAGGGGAAATTGTCTAGTTCTGGTTTTTGATTTTTGTTTCTGCTGATGGAGTTTTTAAAAAAATGATAAAATATAAATAGGAAAAATGTTAACAGGCTGAAAAAACATAATAACGGATAAATGAAAGCCTGTATAATTAACACGGGGCCATAGCTCTAGTTTCACTGGTTGTGGACCTTGATCCATGCTGGATATTATAATGTACATTGGACCACTTATTGCCAAAAAACACAACTGTGAAAGATAAAAGCACAATTACAACCAAAAAACTCATTTCAACTTTGAAATGCTTACCGTGTGAGAGGTTGTAGGATATGTCTGAATTTCATACCGAGACTGATTCCGCATCATACTTGTTTCGTTCTCCAGGCTCATCTGAGTTGTAATTTCTCTACTGGACAGAGATATTTCATTACTAAAAACTATCAAGGTTTTTTCTCCAGCTTTTTTTTTTCAACAGTAACTGTATAAAGTTCTCCTTACCTTTTTTGCACTGAACAGCAACAACAGAAGACTGACTGAATGGAATGGTCTATAAAAGAAAGATAATAAAACATATTCTAAGAAAGGTTCACTTAATTTCATTGTTTCCTGTAATCCTAAAGTATATTCTTAGTGTGACAGATTTAACATCTGTCCACATTATTCAAAAGATGAGATGTTTTATAATTCTTCTAACTGTAAATTGATATTCTACAGTGCACTGATACACAGAAGAGATTAATGTGTTCATTGTTCTGCATTTCCCATTAAAAGAATTGAAAGTTGAGTTAGTATATCTACAGGTGTTGGGTGTAGGATAACTCTCTTCTATAGGAATAATAGTAGAAGAAGTTTTATCATTTATTATAGCAAAAGGGCAGAAGCACATATAAACACACAATACTGTATACTGTATGTTTAAAACAAATATGTTAATCTATATACTGTACTGCATTTAGGATTTAAGTTGCATTTTACAAAATTACATTAAGAAGAGCTGCTGTTTTAATAATTTTAATAGATTTTTAAGCAAAAATGAGCAGTTAAAAATAAAATATGGGCACTATATTTAGGCTGCTTATAAATACATTTTTTAAAGACAGATTTCATTCAAACATAATTTGTTTAGCCATAGGTTTTGACACATGCTTTTCATCCATAGTGTTACCACACATCACAGTTTTACTGATATTCCCATATTCAGCATTATTTCAATGTCCTAGCCAAAAGCAACAAAAGTGAGAAATAGTCCAAGTTTTTGGATATTTCAATAAAAATCTGAAATTACTTTATAAAATATTCATTTTATAAACATTTGATCTTTTCTATTCTATCTACCTATTAGAGTTTTGATGATGCAGATATGATTATCCCAATATTTATTAATTTTCTACATTATTTCAAACTCTCCTGTACAAATGTATTAATTTATGACCAACAAGAATATGAGATTTTTGTTTATTGTCTGCTTTTCTTATGTTCTGAAAGGCATGTACCCCTAAGGAGGATTTTGTGGAAAGAGGGGAAGGGACTAGAGAGAACATCCGATGGTTCTTTTGTGTGATATTTTTATATTGTTCTCCTAAACAAAGCAGTTCACAAAAATAAAGGCACCCAGTGGTTTCTCTACAGTATTTTCCACCAATTTCGGCTACAAAAAGTGTGTGCCCTGCCAAATGACTTGGAAAACAACTGTGGAAAATGTATTTTTTCAGATTAATATAATGCGTGTTCTTTTATTGTATAGTAAGAAACATTTAAACTATATTCCCTTCGTGACGCTTCACTGGGGACAATGATATCCAAGGATTGAATGCTTTGTGATTGTTTGGAACACTTCAAATCAAATCAAATCAAAGTTTATTCATCAAATGCACAACAATAAAGCATGCAGCAGTAGTTGCTGGCAATGAAATATCTTTTCAACGAGCTCACCGGGGGAGTAAAAATCACAAAATTAAAGTTACAAAAGAAGGTTACATAATAATACATAATAGTACAATAGAAATTGAATAAAATAAACTCAGACAATACTCAATATGAATAGAGCTGCTATGTGTCCATGGTATATGCATTATGTCATGTCTAAATAGTGCAGTATGATGAATACAATGAAAACTGTATGTCCATGTAGCCATTATGGGTGATTTGCTAAAGGAGCTGCAGGTTGGCTATTTATTGCCTTATTGCCTGGAGGTAGAAGCTGGACTGGACTTCTTAAGACATCTAGCTCACAGCCAGAAATGAGCTGCGCTGACTTGGTGGGAAAGGTTTGGCTTAACCTGCTTGGTTACTGGGTATCCTCCTGGCCATAAGACTACGAGGCTCAAACTCCATTCAGACTGAGTGAATCAAGGGGTAGCTGCAAGCTGGAGATAGGGTGGAGGAGGAATACTTGAGTAAAATGCGAAGGGAGACGTTTGAGCTCAGGTTATGTAGCTGGTTTGGTAACAATGGTGATTAGACGCCACTGTGTGAGATGGACTTGTCATAGTCATCCCTCCCAAAATTCAATTAATGACTTTCATTATTGTTTCAGCAGTTGTTTCTTTTTAGTTTATATGTGTGTCTGTATGTTTTGCAAACAGCTATTTGTGTTGATGTAGCAGTATAGGCCAGTCCCGCAGAAGCCCAGTCTATCAGTTTGTATCAGCCTCCTGGATCAGTGAATGAAGTTTGCATTAATAAAGCCAACGAGCGGCGTAAAGGAGTAACTGAGAGCTTTGGCTGGAATGAAAAACCCCAAACCCCATGTCTTTCCAGGACAAGGGATGGTGGCTGTATCCCTGAAAAGCAAAATTCACAAATCCTTGCTGATTTGCTTCATTGCTTTTAAGAAAATAAAGGTCGACAAAGATGTTGAGGAGACCCTGCCGTTGAGTTAAATTTGGTGTTTGTGCTTCTACTAAGACATTTTATTCAAATTCTCGGTTTCTCAGTGGAAAAAGAAAGATTATCAAAACCAGATCACACCTCCACAGATCTGAGACCTGCCAGATTTCCTTTCTGTGTGTAATAAAGATCCACCTCTTCACTGAGAATTTTTTTTTTCTTAAAGGAAGGGGAAGGCAAAGTTTGATTATTGCAATGCAGTGCTCGTTGGTGTATTCAAACATTCTCAATAAGGTACGTAATGTTCAGACCTCAACTGCTCAGATACCAACCAGACCTGAACATTTTTCATAAATCATATGCTTTGTGTCCTATACCAAATGCGTCAGATGCTTTAATCTGGGTCCATGTGAATTTCGAAAAAAAAATCAAAATATTGCTGCTCACCTTTAAGGGCTTGAGCTGTTTGACTCCTGACTACACCATTAAACTGCTCACACCTACACAAATCTCCGAACTCGGTAATCGTGCTTTCTGTTCTGTTGCTCTAAGTGTGTGGAATGTTCATCCAGCCCATTTCAGATTTTACAAAATTAAAAATAAAAATCAATGTTATACTCTGACAGAATTTCGATGAATCTACTATAATAATTTGTGTACACCTGACTCTTGATTATTTTTTTGAAAACAGCTTTGAGATTATCAGAATGGCACTATACAGTATGAAATAAAACTGGACTAGCCTTGGACATACAGTGAGTATGTGTATTTAATTAATTAAATTGGTTCACTGAAAATTCATATGTACCACATACAGTAATATTAAAATTATTATTAATTTCATTTGATTTAATAGCATTTTCATCCTAAAGTTGAAAAATGCATGCACCTCCAGTAAATATTGTAGAGACTGTTTACTCCACGATATTTACTGTAAATACTACTCTAAAGAAACAATATTTTGTAAATATTGTTTAAAAAATATGATAAGCGAAGTTTATCACACAATGCCACAATACATCAGTAAATGACCTGTTTTCATTTGCAATGCTATATACCCATGCTATATATTTCTATATCCATGTTTAGATGATCAAGAATTTGAGAATAATAAATTGAGAATTTTGAGATTCTCAAAGTTTGCAGGATAGCTAATTTGGCAATGAGAAATAGAACCTAAAATTGAGATGAATGTGTTGTAATTGCAGCTTCTGTTTTAGTAAACACATTTTCAACAAATGTACATTTATGTCCTTTTAAATCTCAGTGTCTTTGCTTATCTTGCCTTAGCCTTCATACTGCAGATGTCATAAATATCTCATGTGGTTTACAACCCAGGACTTTATCAGGCCTGTCACGCAGGTCTTTGGGAAATTGCTGTCGTCACTAAATGTTGTCACATTCGCCCTGACCATTTTCCAGACCAATGTTTCGAAACCTAGTGTATTCCCCCGGATTACACTCGACTTCTCGTTTTTGTTTTGTATTCTGGTTTCAAATAAATATCTGTTGTATGATTCATAATTTGCAGTACTTTCTCCAATTGCAAAATTGAAAATCCCTTTAAAAAGAAGATTAGCCTTTTTTAGTAGTAAATTGTGGAGGATGAAAATACATTTGTCTTGAAAGAGCTTGTGCGGGTCAATATTTCAACACAAAGTGTCTGACACTGAATGAGGAATTCATATTTTGTAGGAATTTGACTTGTATTTTATCAACGGTTTTCATATACAGTACCTATAAATAGACTGACGCTGCATTGACCCGGATAAGACGACCTACGCTTCATCATCTGTGAGTGGCGCGTCTATACTACGACGCATGTAATGGAATATTATGTTTGACAGGAAGCTGCTCGCATCAGTCTAGGTGCGAAACAAAGAGCAGAAAGCCCACACTTCCTGAATGACCCATGCTCTGTGCCCAGATGATACAGTGAGTCAAACCATGAACGAAATGAGAGGTTAAGCAGAAAGAAAGAAAATAAAAGCATAAAAAACTGGCTTTCCAATGATTTTCTGCAGCCTTTGCATCGTCTTTGCTAATGACAAAAATGTATCATATAATCTCCTGTGAACCAAACCCTCAGACTAACCTATAGGAAATAGTTGCTGAGGTATTAGTACCAGCAAGCATTAAGTGCAAAGTGGGATACACCCTGGAAAGGATGCCATTTAAACACAGGGCCAGGGCCAATTTACAGATGCCAGTTAACCTATTGTACCAGTCTTTGGACTGTAGGAGAAAACTGAAGCACCCAGCGGAGACCAACATGATCGGGCAAAAAATACAAAAATCCATGCAGATAGCACCCCAGGAATCTATCTGAGGGCACCAGTGCTGCAAAGAAGCCATGCTTACTCCAGACTTGTGCAATCTGGCCTTTCTGTCCACCCTTCATTGAACAAAGCAAGAAGTTTTTCACTTCTCCACCTGCCCTACTCTGTTGTGGGACTGTTGGTGCTGAATTCTCAAACGCAATAAAAAGAAAACACCAAAGGGATCAATTGCAATGTTGTTGCAGGTTAACTGGCCACTGTACATTGTGAAATTGTCATTTATGACAATGTTTCCACACTTGTGGCTTACATGTGTGTTTCAGACCACAAAACTGCACTCACTAACTGCGTGTTTATGTTCTCCATCTTATTTTGTGTCGACAAAGAAATGTGCCCAAAAGATCATTTTAAATACTGAGTGCAAAAATCTATAAGATACTAAATATACTCAGCTCTGTTGGAATATTCTCAGCCCTTAGTATTTGCTATTTTACTGCAGCTGTACTCCATTCTTCATCCTTAACTCTTCTGCTTCAATAAAGCTATTTGCTTTTCTATTAGTTGGCAACAAGGACCTAAGAAATAATTAGTAATATACTGTAAGTCTAACCACTGAAAATCCTGAGCCTGTACATTCAGATGACAGATGTAGACATACATATCACCTCAGGAATTATATATCTACTGTAGATGATGATTTCTACCAATAAATGTCACTACCTTAATCCCAATGTTCAACTTAAATAGAGAAACATATTATCACAACAATAAAATATGATGGTGTTCATTACATTAGCACAATAGTTTTAGTGGTGAAAAAATGCAGTTTTTTGCTCTGCATTGACTTGCTTATAGTAACTCACCATGTATTCTGTCATATTTTATTTGAATTAAAATTTATAGTTAAAGAATTTATAAGGCCTATAAACCAAATTAATAATTGATTCAGAAGTGTTAGTCCTTAGGTAAGAATTAAACAGTTTATAATCCTTAAAGGCCATAGAAGGATTAGAATTTCTGAATACTGCAAACAAACATAATAAAAAACTAAGCAAACATAAGAACACTCAAAAACATATCTTGAACAGGACATTTCTGCTTATTATTGCAATTAAGGTTGTAAACCTTGTGTATAGAGTGGTATTATTGTGAACATATTTCAGAACAGATGAATACAATACAGTTTACAGTACAACATCCATCACAATATGTGTCATATCCTTTTCAAAAAATGTAATTTATGGAGTTTAACATACAGTATGAATAAAGATTTGAAAAAATAAAGATTTAAAACTCTCGTGTTACCATCAGCATTGGCTTAGAGAAACTATACAGTATTTTGAATATGAGAAGAGTCTTTGTTGTTGGAATATAATTTCAAACTCATTCCCACCCAAGCCCCAAAACGTTTTCAAACTATAAATCTTAAAATAAATTTTTATATAGACTATAATGTCATACTGTTGTCTGAGGTCATTTCAGGTTAAAGGTTGATATGGTGGTGATTTAAATATTTAGTGATGGAATCTGAAGATATTGTCATGTTAGGATACATTATACAGTCTGACATCTTCCAATGAAAGAAGTGGAAAGCTCAAAATAACAAATTCAACTTTGATTGAAATCCTTCAATTAAGTTATGATTTGATTGGCATGGATAGTTCAAAATATTGAATAAGCAATATTTTGTTTGCTTCATATTTGCTTTAATAAAAAATATTGACTCCCTTGTTGTTACTGACACTGTGTATACTTATGCGCTATTTGATCAAACATTAAGACAGTCTTTCATAAGTGAACAGCAGAAAGGTGCAACTCATATTGTCTATGAGCAAGTATATCCCTTGGGTCTCTCCTCCTAAAATGGTCAATTTTATTCTTCTTACTTCTTATTACATTCTAGAACTAAATGTTTTGTTATTGACAAATGTTTCCAAAATGTGTACACATTGACTGTATGTTGTTCACATTTTAATTACTTAAAGATCAGAGCATGCTGTGAACATCATACGAGATGCCCAGGAGCCACCGTATGTTTCAAGTAATGAATTCAGTGTTGCCTGGAGTGTTTGTTTTTCTTTTTTATTGCTTTGGCTCAAGATCACCTTTCTGTATGTTGAGCCTTGGCGAGGATTTGCAGAACAGATTTTTTTTTCCTTATTCCACTGACCTTCAAAATGCTTTTTTAAAGGTAAAGAATTATTTTCCAGCTTTGTGTCAGAGATTGGAATGGTCCTGTGGTGATTTATTTTTGTCCAAATCAAATTCACCAAATAAGTATTATGGTTGCTAAAGACAATTTTCTTTTGATATGAGAGGAACAAAAAACAGGAAACACTACCTGAAATCTATTGTTTGACACTAACTTCAGTTGGTTACATGCCTTTTTTGTGGTAAAAACAAACACAATAGGCATTTCAATATGCATGACTGCTACTGCTAACATAGTCATGTTTCTTATTTTGCCTGACACATTTCATATAGCAAAGATCATACAAATGCCTTGCTTTTAGAAACCTTAACTCTTTCACTTCAATAAAATGTTTGTTCTGCTCATCACATCAGTTAAGTGAAGTAATGATAAATTAATAAATTAACTTAATATCAATCCAATGCTAAAGCACAGTTAATTGATGCTAATCTTTAAAAACTGAATACAAGGAAAACTTTAGAATGTCAAAATTTGGAACGCAATCTTCCTCACTTAAAATCAGACTCTGCTTAATCATTCTTTCTAAATCGTACAATTTTCTGGACATGTTTCTGCATGGGAAGAGATTCTAATGGGGAGCTCTGTCAGTGTGCGGGCTACAAAGGAATGGGTAGAGGCTAATTCTGAGCTGAAAAAGTATTAATAACAGTTGTGCTTTCTTTGTTTAACTTTACGGTGTGGAATTATAACCGCTACTCATTCCATACTGCTATATGCACTTGACTCTGGGGGTTGTCCTGTCTTTGTGAATGACATGCCATATCTGCGACTTGAAAAGTGGTATTTCTATGTATTTTTTTGACAGATTAGCTATGAAAAAACTTTAAAACACTCTTGTGATCTATATATTTTGCGTTGCATTAAGAGAACCGGCACATGCTATTGGTATTCAACGTTATTAGACATTATTTGTTCCGCAGTGCTACTGTTTATTCTGTTCTTAAGGTGACGTGTTAAGTATTAGCCCTCGGTCTTTGCTTGATTTTCAGATTTAATTTATTGTCTCCCCCTCTTAATGAACAAATAACTCACTTACTTGAAAGGATCATTGCTGTTTCATGCGAATGGTCCAGTCTAGTCTTCATCCATCAGTTACATTCTGTTTTTCAAAATGTTGAAGGGTTCAATGACATGTCTATGGGTGACTCGGGGAGAATTGAATGCTACTCAAAGTGCGGAAAGGAAGAGGTGACGTGATGTTAACCACAAGACTGCATAATCAAGTACACCTCTTAGTAGAAGGAAAGTAAGGAGACTTAAAAATAGGCTTATTTTTCATTTACATGAGAAATGAGCAAAAAAACTTTATCAATCATGAAGTAAAACTTTAAATACATTTAAGTTTAAACCAATTGGCACTTCTGTTAGAAGTGTGTGCTGCTGGACTGTTGACATCAGTCCAAACAAGTGTGATGCACTTGTTTTTGCAGTATTGTTTTGTTTTAGAATTTGGAGTAATAATTGTTCTGTACGTATTTTAAACAAATCATTATTTAAGAGTGACTGCATGATATGACCATGATTAATGAAATTGTTAATAAAAGTATGTTTTTCAATTATGCTTATACTTAAATGCCTTTAATGTCAAATCTACTTTCTACTTTTTAAGAGCTTCAGTATTTTTTTCTTTAGAAAAAGTTCCAACGTGATTTTCACATGGGTAACTGAGAAATCGGAGTATGAATCAAAATTTCTCAAAGAAGTGGTTTATAACTTTTGTAGCAAACAAAGATACAGTACAAGAGTAAATACAAGGACAAGTACAATTTTGTGAGCAAGAGTAAGATAAGGTGAGCAAACTCTTATCTTTAATAATCGATGCAAAACTGCAGCAAGGACTCTCAACCACTGATTGGCGTCCACAAATGGATTTGTAAGGATATAACTACTGTATGTTTCAGCAATCTTGTATATAGCTTGAATTTAAATTGTTTTAAATTATCCACTTTATAGAAAGTGAGAGTGAACCTGCAAAGTCCTAAGACACATATTATAGGAACTGGTATTTATTTAAAAAGTAAAACAGAAATGATCTGGAAAAAACAATTATGAAGTATTTTTTTATCAAACCTTTGCAAAATTCAACACCTACTGTATAATCTAACTCCAGTCTCATCTGTTGCATGTACCAGGCATCTCTAGCAGTGCTTCCTGAATAGCATCTTTGGTCTTAAGAAAATATCTGTGCACAGTTTTTCTTCTTGGGATCTGGATGCAAGGTAGACAAAAGTGAAGCCAGTTTGTTCCAGCTATAGTTTTGTTCGGATTTTCTGAAGGTCGACAAAAAGAATGAGTCCAACTGTCTGATTTAGTTGATTGGGCGAAAATAACAGTGAGTTCACGAACACAAGATTTCTTCTTTTAAGAAAGTTATGAAAGACTGTTGTTATGTTACAAATGGGGGTGGGGTGTTACAAAAATGGATAAAATCAGGAACAATAAGTAAAATTAAATAATCATAATCCCTTACTTGTAGATGATTTTTCCAAGAGTATCCCCAAGTGGTTGGTATAGCCATAGACATGTGAATTCTTCGTTCTCTGGCACAGTTTTGGTGAAATTAATAAAAATTAAGGCATACTTGGTTAAAGAAATATTTATTTAAAATGACCATGCCTACTAAAAAACACACAACATAAACATACAACACACAAGTTCAAATTTACAAAGAAGGCATCCTAGAAGCCTAATGTTCTAACCATCCAGAAAAAACCCAGACTGCTACCGAGTGTTCAACTCTTAAATAATGTCTTAAATAAATTCAGTATAACCTACGATTAAATCTTTCTCTCTGAAAAAAACATATGCCACTAAATAAATAGGAGTCAATCTCCCTATCCTACAAATGCACCAACCACGCAGGAAAGGTTGTTTAAACCAAGGTATTCTTCAAGAGATATCCAAGTTCCAAGTAAACAAGGTTTAAGTACTTAGCTTCAATCTGGTCTTGCTGTGAAACACTCATCTTGGATCTCTCACTTGTGGTGTTGTATGTCCTTTTTTTCTTACAGCATATGGTGTATTTCTGGGCAGTTGAATGACACATAATCATTTAATTAGCTAAGGTAAACCAAGGCAAACTTCATAATTGTCTTGATCAATGAATCTGGACCTCACCACATTACAGCAAACATCCTCTTTGCTTTGAGGCTGGGGATGGTAAGACTGCCAGGTGTTACACATTTTATCTGGATTGTTAGAGAAACTTCCGTAGTCACCTACCATAGCTGTAAGAAAATCTTGTACAGAATTCTGTATTATACTGATTTACTCTCTCTGCCTGGCGTCTAGGAGAAACATCCTGACTTAGACTGCTGGCAGTCACGTGGTAGTAAAAGTCTGATAGCCAGCTTAGTTGGAGAGATTAGAAGCAAGTGGTCAACTGGGTAACGTCACAAGTTGGAATCAGTTTTGGTTTTGGTGCCCATCCTGCAGATCACTCATTGGTGTCACTGTCCTGGGAAAGATCCCTATCCAGAAGACATCTCCCTTACTTTCCCACACTCTAGGTCATTCTGTGGCTGAGATCATTATCAAATCATTGCACAAATCTTTAATAACACTTAATTCTAAGTGAAATAATAGGCCTTGGCCCTACACATTTAAAGTGTACATATTATATAAGTTGAAGATCAAAATGTTAGGTGATCTGCATAATCATAAATTGACCCATAGGAAGGAAAAAATATAATCAAGTACAGATATTTAAAAATAGAAAAATTTGATAGTTTATTCTTTCTTATATACTCAAATAGATTAAACACAGCAAATGAGCATTGGAAACAACATTATTCATTAGAATATATTCTCTTCATAATATCCACCATTAATACAAACAGAAATTTTGTTAACCATTTGTTCTTTCAGCTACAATAAACTGTTTCACCCGTTTAAATTTAGATCATAGAATTTAATAGGATGAGGGTTGAATTTAGTTGCCAAAGCAAGAATTTGGTCTAATCTTTTTTTTTAAAGAATGGTCAAAAAACATTATTGAATCACACCACAAAAGGGCTTACTTGTTTAAAGGTCACCATTAAATCAAACATATATAATAATTATTAACAGTCCTTCATCTAGCTATTACATGTTCCGTGTCATGGTCTGAATGTTCTTATCTACTATTGTTTTAACTTTGCAAAGAAAACAACAAATATTTGAAAGTTCATTTAAACAAATCAGATTATTTCCTGTAGCAATCTTTTCCTCATCCACAAAGACAAAAATACCGTATACAAACCAGGGCCAGTTTTTCCAGAAGCCAATTTATCTACCAGTACTGTACATATTTGGACTGTAAGAGGAAACTGGAGCACCCAAAAGAAACCCATTTGAACACGGGGAGAACATATAAACTCCATGAAGATAGCACTCAAGAAATGAAACCCAGGGCTCTATCATTGAGAGCAATGCTAACCACTGTGCAATCAGTCCATCATACCACCCTCTACACATCATATGTAGGCAAATTTAATGTATTATAACAAAGTCACAGACTGGTAGTGTGCCCGGCCACTACTGGGAGCTGTATTAGATGTACAGTACATGTGTGACATGATATGCACTATGCTGCACCTACTGTCTTGTGGGATTTTTCCCTATCTTCTGGTTGAATCTGTTCACTTGTCTCTGAGCCATAGATTGTAAAACTGTCCCATTATATCCCACAAATGTTCACTAGGACTCAAGTCTGTCTGCCAACATGAACTAGCAGTGTATAAGCTTCCAGCCACTTTGTGAAATAGTGAAATAGCTAGGCTAGCCAGGACTGCATTGAAGTGTGACACATGCTCCAAGAGAGCATGAGATCCTAATAAGGGTTACAAACAAGAGGAGACAATTACAGCACAGCCATAGTTTATACTTTCGTTGTTTCACTGTTTCATTGTTGTTCTGGAGGTCGTCATGGTGGACCAGACATGCCGACAATGGTATCTTTGCTAGCTCTCTGTCTGTCAGCTGCTTAAAAGTAACATAAAGGTGGTCATGAACTGCCCCAGCCACCTCCGCTAGGGGACAGCTGTCCTCTGGTGCCAGCTCTACCTTTCAATAGCTACTCCTGAGGTCCGGGGATCTGAACCACTTTGATTCTATGATGATAGAGTGTGGACAAAGGTCTCATCCATCTTAGGGTAGGGATCATTCCTGGTCACCTAATTAAGGTCCCAGCAGTCTACACAAAAAGAAAAGAAGCCATCCTTTTTGTTAATGGGCAGCCTACTGAAAACTCTATGGACTGTCTGAGGTCTGGGTTCAGCAATGGAGCATCTCCTCCAGGTTGCAGGTGGGGATGACTGCACCACCCTTCCCTCAGCTGAGACCTGGCACTTAGTGTTTCTTTGCAGGTTCATCAAAGAACCACCGGCCCATCAGAGAATTTAAAAATGTTTGACCACAGCAAACAACTATGTCTTGGAGTCAGCAAAAGCAACACTGATTTTTATTATGCCAGATTCAATGTGTAATTGTTTTAGCAAACATTTATCTCAACAGGTCTGAAAGATTGTACAATGTGTACTGTGGCCTTATTCCACCCACCCATCATCTTTTTATTTCTCAAGGTGGCAGGAACCCAGAATGCATACTGTAAACACAGGGCACAATCTGAAACACACCACCAATTGTTTTTTACCTTATTTACTGAATACTGTATATTCAAACAATGTTTCCAGTTTCAATTTCAGAGTTAAAATTAATCATCTATCATACCCGTATTTGTACAAATAACCCAAGACTGGTGAAAAGCTTTGTGCAAGAGAAATGAATGTATTTTTCAAAAGCCACGTTCACATTGATAGTGGCAAGTCAACCATTTCATTGGTTATTTTAGGATCATGGTTTTATTTTGAAAAAATTCCCTTTGTCTTGCGCAAGATATGCAAGCTATCATTGAATTAACAACTGACATTTCAGTAATTTTATAGCTACATTGCATCAGGGATTGTACTATATGCACTGTAAGTTGTCGCATGAGAAATACTGTTTTTTAAGTTGATAAGAAAGCGTATTCAAATCAGTATTTTGCTGAAAAATAAGAAAAACCAAATAATATACTGTACAGTAAATGAGGATCATGTAGGCTAATTATAAAACTACATTTATGAAATAAATGTGAAAGTACACTTCAAATAAAGATGTGTAAAATATAAACTGACACAAATTACATAATCTGATCATTTATTAATTATCTAAAAAGTTTCACTCTCTTACATGTACCTTCAATAATTTCTAGCTCACGGGTTTGTACAATTCTTTGGAAACCCTCAAACAGGAAGCTCTGTAAGTGTCAGTGTAAAGATAATGTCAGTTAGAGCTTCAAAGGCTTAGTTATCATATGCGGGAAGGTTCAATGGAAAAAATTGTATTAATAGACGTAGTAAAAGCGATCTTAAAAACAACAGAAAATGAATGAAAGTTACCTGTGTCTATGAGTGAATAGTTTCCTAGTCACTGGCTCTAACGAAAGCAATTCTCTCTCCAGAGTTTAAAAAGTACAGTGGACACACAAGAAGACCACATTACACACACACACAGTCAACCTTTGTTTTATCGATGTAAGCAAAAAAAAATTTAGAGGCAGCATATTTAGCATTTTGGTCAACAAAATAAAATAGATTATCTAAGAGTTAGCTAGAATTATGCTTTTCATATCTTAAATAAATGTATGGTCCTGCACAAAATGGAATGCAAAAGCTAACTAAGAGCTAACCAGAGGTGTATGCAGTTGTAATAACTTTCATAAATATGGTAGTCCTATTGTTATGATATTATGCAGTATAGTAAGGCATTTTGACAAGAATGTTGTTATGGAAGGGTTGCTAACTGAAAAAATGCATTATTTGTGTATTCACTGAATGTACCAACTAAAGTCCTAAAGTAGAAGTATAAATACTTTAGTGAAGCAATGTGGCAATTAAATTTCTATAGATTGGATGTTAGTTGTAAAATACGTTGTATAATTATTTTAACTGGCATATTTTTTATACAAAAATACAGTTTTGTACTGTATCTTCAATAACCATCTTTATATGATTAAGTGATTTGTAAACTTTTGGAAATATGTTTGAATATAGTGATGGACATGTAGTCTAGTTGACACGTAGTCTATTTAATGGTTATCCACAGTATTCATACTTTCGCTTTCTGCTTGAATTTCAAGAGTCATGATAATTTGTTTGTATCAAAACTGGCAAGATCAAAGGGTGACATGATGCAGGTGCAGTGGTTAGCATTACTGCCTTGCAGCCCTCAGCCCCTGGGTTCAATTCTGGACCTGGGGTTCAATATGTGTGGAGTTTGTATGTTCTCCCTGTGTTTGTGTGGGCTTTCTCCCACACACCAAAGACATACTCTACTGGTAGGTTAATTGGCTTCTGTGAAAATTGTGACTGGGTGTGCCCTGTGATGGACTGGTGTCCTGTCCAGGGTGTATTTTCCATTTTGTGCATTTTGCTTCCCAAGATAGGCTCCAGCTCTTTTGCGATCCTGAACTGGACGAAGGGCTTAGAAAACGGATGGATAAGATTAATATGAAATTATCTCGTTGGTGAACTTTGCTGCAGATTTCCGCGAGCCCATTTTTGCTGTTACGGAGCCTCAATGTCAACACTTTTGAAATAACTGCAGCTGTTATAATTAGAAAAGAAGCTTCAAGGCTCTGCCTACTGGAAAGCTACTTTGAAGCAAACACTGTTATACCACTGGAGCCACCAATACAAACCTGTGTGGAAATTATTAGTGAGACACTCCATGCTAAGCTGGTGTTCGAAAGTTCCAAAAGCAATAGGACACTTCTGTCATAGCTTTCAAAACTGAGCCTCAATAGACGACAAAGCAATCAAATGGCCCAAAGTGGGTAGGACTGGCTCTGTGGCTAAGGATCTGTGCCTGTGGCCAGAAGGTTGCCAGTTCAAATCCCGTGGCCGGCAGAGGAATCCTACTCCGTTGGGCCCCTGAGCAAGGCCCTTAACCCCAACTGCTCCAGGGGCGCCGTATAAATGGCTGACCCTGTGCTCTGACCCCCAGCTTCTCTCCCTGTCTGTGTGTCTGTGTCTCATGGAGAGCAAGCTGGGGTATGCAAAAAGACGAATTCCTAATGCAAGAAATTGTAAAGGGCCAATAAATTGATCTTATCTTAATATGTTAAGTTTGATAAGTTTGTGTTCAGTGCTCCTTTACAATGTGCAAAAAAAAACATTTAAAAAAGGTAAAACTAAGCATACTTTTCAGTTTTGTGAAGACTCCAAACAAATTAGGAGCACAGCTATTACACGAAACAGCAACTACAGGGGGCATAATGACCAGGACTAGGAAGACATGCCCTTAAAAGGCAAACTAAAAGGCCAGGAAGGTAAGCACTTCCCTTAGTTCTACTTTCTGGGAGATATTAATACAATCTTCAGTTTGTATGTGTGTGTAGTAAGGCTCATTTTACTCATAATATTTTGTTAATTCCCTAGATTTTAGGGACATACCATGTTTGCTACAGACACATCTTTAGAAGACATTGTGCAATGTGCAAAGTCATACGTATCCACAGGCAGAAAGCCCTACTGGCACACTTACTGTTATATGTCATGCATCCCTGCATTTGACCAAAACACTTCATGAAAGGTCAGGTTTTGATCTGAAAACAGATTTTTCTCAGATCACATTCTTTCAGGTTCTCTTTTCAGTTTCTCAGTAACCCACAGCTTCTTTTACGTGTGAAAAATATACTTGGCATTTCATTTATTTCTAACAGATTAAAATGTCTTATTCTGAGACCATTATCTGCTGTCCCAGTGGTTGGTATGTTCCATGGCACAAGGAGAATAAATCACACAGAAGGAAACAGGCTGTAGACAACGGTAGAGGTATTCAGTATTCTTATTTTTAAAAACTGCATTTAAACATTCTAGTGTTAAAACAAGTTATGGACTAAAGCAAAACAGCAATAAATAAATGCAAAATCATGATTTTCAAAAAGAACAGTTTCAAAACAGATCTAAATTAACAATATTTTATTAAACTGAAATTAGCAATGAGTTTCAATGTGCACTAATCATTTTATCCCCTTTAATCTGAGTAGGGGAGTGCACCTTATTAATTTTATATTAATAAAAAAACATCCAACAAACGATACATAACAGCATCCTCCCTACATATTATGACTTACAATGTAGGCTTGTAAGTTAAAACTTTAAAATTTATTTTTCATGTGCTTTAGCAGCAAATGTTAATGCCACGCAGCAGTATGACATTGTATCCTGTAGATTAGGCCTCAAGCTGTGTCAAATTCCAATTCCTTGTTATGTTTGTTAATTTATAATTAATTTATTAGTTATTTTTTACCTACTCCATGGGACTCAGGACCCAGAATTTTTTTAAATTCTATTTTTAAAATTGCTGGGTGAGTTACTATGATGTGCACATGGGTGGCATGCTGTTTGAAGATACCTGACATGACGTATCTGAGGGAAAAGTTTAATAAAAGCTGTGGAAAGCTTGTATCTACAATCCTGCGAATTAGAATGTGTTTTTGGCTTTGCTCTACTGTGTAGCCGAGATTCAAGTTTACTCTTCCCCTCCGAATTCCCTCAGAGTTGTCTCTCAGCAACCTCATCACATACTGACAGGTTTACTCAAAGCAGGGTCAAAAGGGGGCAAAAATGAGTATGGACTGAGATGGGGGTCCAGTTTGTCATCTAGGAAGAAGCTCTAACTGGAATAGTTCATATCTGTAAAATCAGTTTTTATTAATCTGATTTTTCGTATTCATAATCCTGAGAAAGTTTGTTGAATGGACTGTTTTTGTTGTAATGATCACAGACATGCTCACTATACTGTACTGTATGTACTGTACTTCATGTCTGGTGACTGGACATAGTGTGAAACAGTTTATTACTTCCTAAATTTGATGTCTTTCTTTGTGGAGATTTTTAAAACGTGACAAACAATCATTCCTAAGTGTGTGTATATTCCTTAGGGTAAACATATGAATATACATTACATCAGTTTTTCAATTATAACAGTATTAGGCTGCAAAATTCTGCTAATATAACCAGTCTTTCTTTCTACAGATTTCCTTCCAAACCTCCACAGGTTGTGCAACATTTGCGAAACAGGAATGTGTTATGCATGAACAGATATGCATAAAAGGTCCAAGCTGATAGAATATGAAGTCCAGAGTGAAGATCATGAACTATCTCCTTCAGCAACTTCCTTGATCAGAACTGCAATCTGAGAAAATGTAGGCCTTTCTTCAGGTTTCTAAAACAGAAACGTGAGAGAAGGGAGGTTAAGATGGTAGATCCCGTATTTACTCTCCATTCATTGGTGGATCAGGGATGTTGTATAACAACAGCAAACACTTTCATAGTGCCTTTCACGCTGCTTCCATTTTACAAAAATATAAAGGCTAAAAAATCTCAATGGGACTTTCTTTTCACAGGGAATATTTAATTTGAAAACAGGGGAGGGGGAATTAAAACATGTATGCATTTTAATTCATAGGACAGGATTAGTACAAATCGATTGCAAGACTGCAGTGTTCATCTATACTGAATCTGAATATAGAACTGTACTCCTTGCCAAAATCCTTAAATGTCAGGTGAAAGTAAGCACTACCCTAAAGCAGTAAATTCAATTCATTATCCGTATGTGACACCACTGTGCTCAAAGATCTTGTGAAAAGTGAAGAGTGGATCCCTTGTCATAGAAAGGGAAATATCGGGCAAAAAACAAGAAAAAGTCAGAAATGCTGCCCTACTCAATACTGTATGTCCATTGTAAAAAAAAAAAAGTTTAATTATACAACATCTTTTTTGAAGTGCTGGTTCTCTAGACGTTTTCCATTAAAAGGTTCAGGTCTAGTGCCCTCTCCTTTAAGTTTTTATATACTGTGGCTAGTAATAAAACACTTACCTCATGCCAGCACAACTGCATGATCTCATACATATTGGGTGGGGCTTTTTTCGGTCGATAAAGTCTATGACCCTGGCTGACCATTGTCACCACTTCATGGTTTGCATTGTTTTCAAAGGGCATTTTACCTTCTGTAAACACTTCCCACATCAGAACACCTAAACATAAAAAATGCAAACAAATGTTATCCGTTAACATAACATTTTAGTAATGTGATTATCTGATGGGATTTGTAATCATGAATTCTTATCACTTCAGATATACTAACAAATTAAAGCTCAAGCTATAAAAAGGTTATTGCTATTTATTATATCCCCAACTTTGGTAAACTAGTTTATTATTTCATAAAAATAGGGATTGGTTGTGATGGAAATGTTTTCATTGGTTACAAAACTCTTGTCTATGACGGTGCTTAAATGACTGCAGTTTAACCCTGGGAAAACATGGTTAGTAGGAAAAACAATACCCAAGGCATAAGTCATTTGATTACATTCTTTGCATAGCAAAAATACTAACTTCTTAATAATCAAAATGTGATTCATTTTTCTAGTTTAGAAAGTCCAATTACACTTTTTTTTCTAGCCTTGTAATTTGTTCCCTGTACTTTCAATTCACAGATACAGCCCTCATATGACTTTAGAAGAGATAAGTCAATAAGCACGTTCTCCCAGGTAGCAATGTCAGAATAAACTTTTAATAGGCTGCGTGAGGACAGCGCCAGCAGCAGAGCTGAAGTACTAGCCA